GAGCCCGGCCGCCAGGAAGCGGACGGGCCGCTCCCTCGGCGCCGGGCCGCAACACGGTTTCTTCGCGGGCGCTAGCCCAGCCCCGCGAAGACAGCAGCAGCAGCAACGGGGTCGCCCCGCTGTCCTTCCCGCCGCAGCCCCGTCCGCCTCCGCCGGACGCTACTTCCCACCGCCCCCCTGCCCCGCCACGACTACTGTCGCCCCGGCTCTCCGCCCAGCCATCCACCCCCTCCACCCCCTCCGCCTCCTCCCATAGGCCCCCTGCCCCCTCCCCAGCAGCAGCCCCGGCCCTCCAGGCAGCAGGGACAGTCTCTAGCACCCCCAGGTACAGGCCCCGCTAGGCCTGGCGTGGTGGTGGCGGCCCCGCCGGGCGCGGAGGGCGGACGGGACCCCGAGGGCGCCGGGGAGGGATTGGCCAGGCTGCGAGGGGAGGCGGGCGGAGAAGATGGCGCCGAGGAGCGGCGCGTGCTGAGGCGAGCGGAGCCGGGCCGGGGCGGGCGGCGGGGAGAGGCCGGGCGCTGACGGTGGGGCCGGGATATGCGGCAGCGGCTGCTTCCTGTGCTGAGGCGGGCTCTCCTGGGCTTAGCGCGCCCCTGCGCCGTCCCGGCCTCCCAGGTTTTCCCTCAGTGCCGGCGGCGCAGCTTTCTCGGGTACGGTGCGTGTTTGGCGGGGGGTGGGACGGGTGAGTTGGGGCCGGCCCCCGGGTCCCCGCACTGTGAGGTCGGAGACCCCTTCCTGTCCCCCACTGCGTTGTGTAAGAGGTGGCGGAGCGGCCGGGGCACCTTGCGCGGGCAGGGGGGCAACCAGGGCAGCGGAAACGCGGGGCTCGGGCGGGAGTGATGAGGGAGCTGGGGCGGCGGGCCCGTGTGTGCCGAGGAGGCCTGTGTCCTGCGCTGCCCTGCCCGAGCCCGGTGTCCTGTGTGTCTTTAGCAGCACCTCGGCTGGCAAAGCAGGCTTGGTCATCAGCCTCATGGCTATGGCGCGGCGTTAGCTGTCCGGTGTGCTCGCTTTGTTATGTTTGTCCTCCTCCCCCCCCCCCCCCCCCCCCCCAAAAAAAAGACCCCGGAATTTGCATGTTGCTTAACTTGCCATGTCTTCCTGAGCCATAAATGGTAAAAAAAAAAAAAAAAAAAGTTCTTTGCAAAGAAACTGTTATGAGAGTTACCCAGGGTTGATGGCACTGGTCTCTTCAGTATGTGTCAAGCTGTCCAGTACTGGCACTGTGTGTGTCTTGTTTTTGTGTGTGTGTTACTAGTTCCAGTGGAGACACTAAGTAACCTCGATGGAGGGAGGAGCGGCGGGAGGCTTGGCATGGTTCGCTTTAGGGGCAAATTAATCTGCGTAACAACTCGGTAAAGTTTTTCCAGGAAGGGAGCTGGGTAGGGGAAAGAGGCAAAGTTGTTTTCTTTCTTTCTTTAGCACCGTATCTGTTATTTTAATAGCAAAACCTATATTTAACACTGCAAAAGCAAGACATATCAAGAGTAACATCTTTCGGGGGGGGGGGGGGTACGATGATTCATGCTGTCAATGCTTGTGTGTCAAAATTTGGATGTACCGTTATTGTTCATAATTGCAGCGAATGCTCCGGTATTGTAAGGGTGATCCACAGTGTATGTTTGGAGCTAATGCTTTTCTTGGGCTCTAGGTTGTCCTGCTAGATTACTTGTCTTTAAGCTTGTGCAAATATGCAGTATTTGGACTTAACTTTGTGTGTGAGTAGGCCTGTTGTGTTTTCATACTGCCTACAGCCATGATTTAATCATCTGTTTAATTGTGAATTAGGATTTTCATAAACAATAATGATATGAGAGCAGGTGTAGTGCTTTCACATATTTTTGAAGATGAAAACGTGAAAATGAATAACCTTTTCTTTAATTACATGTGCCCTGTTTCCGTTTCTGAATTTTGTTTATTCCTCACCTTTTTTCAGCTTTACCTTTTTCTTCTCATAGAATTTTTAACCTTCATGTGCATGTCCAGTATTTCTCGGATAATATTCTCAGATAATATTTCTCAGATAATTTCTCAGAACTTCTTATCGCCCCTGTTCTAGTTAGGATGTCCCTACAAGGTTCATGTTTGCATGTTTTTTTGCTCCCTTTCTGCCTTCAGTCGCTTGTAAGGCTGCGGTTTAGTCCCTTAGATGAAACCCTACCTTTGGGACTTTGATCAGAGTGTGAAGGATACAGCTTATTTTGCACATGAAGTAGTTCCCTACCCTGTTAGATCTAGAAGAAGAAAGCGGGAAGGGACAAAAAAGTTCTTTACCTCCAGTGCTTCACTGAACTGGAAGGTGTTAGGCTCCTAGCTGGGGGTCATTGTAGGTTATTGTAGAAGTCATTTACTAAAAATACTGTCAGACCATTTGAGAGATCACAAGTTGATATTTTAGATATATTAATTCTATTGTATTAGATTCTTTCATAATAGTTTTAACAAGGTAAGAATCAGAAAGTTTGTAGTAATAAATGTCTGTGGAGGAATTTAATTGGATTTGTGTCCAGTTATGCATTTGTATATGCAGGTGTGTCAGTGAATATGTTTTCAGCTTTCATGATGTTCATAAGTTGATACAATATGAAATAGCACTGTGTATATGTAATAAGGTGATTTTTGATGGAGTTTGATTGAAAGTTGCTTCACTGTAGCTTTCTGTTTAGATCTCACCTTCTGCAGCTTGTTTTTGGAATGAGTCAGAACTATAGCTTGCCTGAGAAATTCAGATGAAAAAAAAAATGCTGTAGAACTGAGAGTTTACCTACAGTGTTAACAGTAGAGATAGAATTGTTCAAAATCATAATAACTAGAAAACAGAAGAGGTAAATAGCCAGGACTTCCTTTGTTGCAACACATCACTGCTGCTTGTTATAGGTCAGTTGATTAAAGTGCTAGTATTAGATAAGCAATTGCTTTTAATGTAGGATTACAGCAGTTGTCATGATTCAGAATCCTAAAGTTCTTTCTGTGTTTGTTGGTAGATCAGATTTTCTTGCCAGTTCTCTCATCTTTCTGTGTATTTCTTGTTGTTATGCAGTATAACTAAAGTTTTTAATTCAGACCTCACAAGTTTTCTTTTTGAGGGTAAGAAACAGATGGTAGCATAAAGTGTTAAGTGAGTTGGCTTTACAAAGAGTGTTGGGCAATCTGATGTGCTACTTGGAGATAAAATGTTTAAAATGCACATCAAAATACAGTAGAATAAACCACAGAGGTCTTCCCTGTAACATCCAGTTTTGTTTCCTAGTGTGTGCAGGGCCATGTGCTAGACACCACTGCTGCACTGTGGTTGTGGACAAAGTCCTGCAGCTCTAGGGTGGTGGAGGAAAAACGTCAGGGAGGGAGGAAGAGTAAGAAGCACTGGCTTGTGAGTCTTCAATGCATAAAGCAGTTAATTGGATTAATGAGTACATTTCTGAAGGAAATATGTAAAATACGCTTCCAAGCAGCTAGTTGTGTTACAAACTAGTCTTGTCAGTGTTGTTCTTAGCATGCAGCAGACTGATGAAAATAATGCAAGCCAAAATACTATGACAGATTTGTGAAGTCATTCTGAAGATCCTATATTGTCTAAAGATCAAAACCAGATAATTTTATGTATATTTAATAGAGACCTAATCTTTCATGTAATGAAAGGCTTCAAAACCCTTTTGGAATTTTGCTATTTTCAGCAATCTTGTAAAAAGAATGAAGAAGCAGTAGGGAAAGAGTAATTTTAATTGTTTTCTATTTCTAATGAGCCTAGATAAAACTTGTTTACCATGGAGGGTGTGTTTTGATTAGTTGTTTGGGGCAAGTTTTGAAGAAATAGGAAAAGTAAGCTGAAATAATGTAGAAATTTTTAAAAACTGTATATGCTTTATTGCTGTTTCTGAAATCTGACTGTATAAAATCCTGCCTTTGTATTTGACATTTTACCTAGTGCTTTGGAAACTGTGGAATGGTCAAGTAAAGAAATGTAGCTTCAGGGCAGTAAATTGCCATTTTGGTGTCTTGAGTGTATATCCCATCTTTTTGGACTAACATGAGCCACACGCATTATTTTACTAGTTATTCAGCCGGGGGCTGATTTTACATATGAAGCTGCCAGGGCCAAGTTCACACATGGTATTGTCTCATTAATGCTACTCATAATTCCTGTACACTGGCATGTAACACCAGTATTTCTACTGCCGTGTTGGTAGTGAAGCTGTGACAGACCAAGTTTTGCTGCTGTGATCTAGAAGCTGTAGAAGCTGGACCCTTCTGGGAATGAGAGAAAGGCAGGCTTCTGCCCTGGCCACCATCATTAAGAGGGAATTTTCCAAGTCAGTTACAGACTTGGCAAAAAGCAGCACACTGAGGTTCTGAAAATGCTTTAATTGTAGCAAGCTTCAGGATTTCTTCAAAAGAAACTCCATAACAAAACCTTATAAATATTCATCATCTTCAAACTTGCCTAATTTGGCATGATTAGTTGTTCTTAATAACTTGGTAGCCCTGATTAAATCATTGTGGGCCTTTGTAGTTGGAGCTATTATGTATGGAGTAATACGCTGAATTCATAAGGAGTTTGAAAGTGATAAAACATGATAACGTTTTGAGCGGTTTATCTACTTATGCAGTCTGTCTGTCTGTGTATGCAGTCAGATTTATTTAGATCAGCATCAGGAATGTGTTGGGATCTTACATATTCTCTAGCTTCGTGACAAGTAGATTTACAGAAGATTGATGCTTTATGGATATTGAATAATGTGAACTGTTTAATCTCTAAATGTGTAAAAGAAAGATTGCTAGGTTTGTCTACTGATGAACCTGTAACCTGAAAAAGTTATGTATAGTCTCCTGAAATAGCCTTTATGGTAATGGTCGCCGGAGTTGATTTAATTTTGGGTTTTTTTTTTTGAGATGACTCTTTCTCTACTCCATTTTTTTATTACATTCTTGGTAACAGAACTTAGTAAAAACATTCCTCTGACTTGTACTGCATATAGTTTAGTCTAAAAAATAATTTTTAATTATGGTATACTACTGAATCGAGAGGAGGTGACTTACTGATGACGTCACTTGTTACACATACAAGGATGTCACAATGCCATTGAATTCTACTGCTGTTGTGAGGAGAGGCAGTTGCAAGAGGTGAAGAGGAGGAATGAAGATCTGTAGAAAAATGGAGGCTTATTTTATTGTTGCAAAGCCACGAGCTTGCAAATGAAGAAGTTCGTGGACTTTTCCAGAGGGCTCAATTCAGTGCTGTTTTCCTGGTAAGAGAGGTAAGGAAACTGGCTGGTGATTTCGCAGCACTGGGCCTCCTGCCGAAGCACACAACGCTTCTTTCACTCCATGCATTTGCAGCTGAAGAAATCATTACATGAGTTACTAAGAGCTGTAAACCAAGATAGATCAGTAAATAATACAGTGAGCACAGTTACCAGTAGTAGTTCAGTTGCAGGGCAGAGCAGGGAAGGGTTTTGGCTCCACAGAGGTTTCACTTCACCCTGGTAAATGGTAGGCAATTAAGTGGAGGGGGTGGGATGGGGAAGGAAGTAAAAGGAAATGGATATAAATAAAATACAGAACTTGGGACAGGTGCAAAATGTGAGATTGAACAACATTACTGTGGTCTTTGTATAGTTTCAAAGACACTGCTAGAGCTTTGACAGTTGTACTACAGTAGTGTAACAAACCAAGTGTATGCAAAAGACATGAAACATGAGTTGCTAAACATGAGGAGCAGTTCAGATCCTAGTGTACAGAAGTGTAAGCTTAAAGTGAGTACATTGTAATGCCCTGAGAAGTAATTTGGGTTCAGTTGCATAAAAGCTTTAAGCAAACCCCAATTTTAAGGCAACTGATAAAAATTTAAAGCAAGGATCAAAATGGTAACTGTTGCCATTCATCTTGGTTACTTCAAGCTGATGTTTATAGCCATTCATCTGGCTCAGACCTGTGTACCCACATTTGGCTTAAATACATGGAGTCTGTCATGGCAAAAGAATCTAGGAAAGCACTTTGGCATTTGTGCTTTGGGGGTCATATTTTTATTAGCTAGTTACATTTTTGCGTTGAAGCAACCCTCAGGAGTTTCTGTTAATTGGTTTTCAAATATGGTCCTTTAATTGTTCAAACATTGAACTTAGTTTTGACTACACTGGCTAATTTTTAATTAAAGTAAGTTTCCTGAAATAACTTTGAAAGATTAAAATAGTTAGGCAGAATCATGTATCACAGTCCCACGCTGTAATACGTTTGCAGGTGAAACCTTGCTGGTTCGAAGAGACTGCCTGATTGGAAATCATTAAAAAATGTGGCCTCAAAGAGTAGAATATAATTTATTTCAAGTAGATGTAGCTTATAATTCAGCATCTGTTTTAGTTGATACTTTGCTCATACAAGTGAAGTAATTTTGATGAGGAAGATTGTCTTAACATTTCGTAGTCATTGAATAGGGGCACTGCTCTCAGTTCCAACATCCCTGTTCTTTTCTCTGTTTCTGTCTAGCTCTATGATGTTGCCACCTGTAATTTTTGGCCAGTGGAAAAATTACTAGTGCCACAGTAATGCTTTGTATTTGTTCTTCCCTCCTTTGTTTTACTGGGTCTTTCTCTGTTGCTTCTGTGTTGTGAAAGTAGTAGGACAGTATTTCTTCTCATGACATTTTTTGTTAGGATATTAGCTCTGCAATAAATATAGAATCTAGTTTGTGGATTAATTTACTACTACTGACCATCAGCACCCAATACTCATCGTGATGACAGAGCAAGTAGATAGAGCTCTTACATTTCAGGACAGCATCTGAACATGACTTCAGGAATTAAGCTATTTTTTCAAGAAACTACAAGAAATACAGAATTCTTTCTTTCCATTACTTTTTTTTTTTTTTTGCTATGATCAAAAGCAGTCTGTTGTCAAAAAGCGGTTTGTAGGGGTTTTAGGATCCTTGTGAAAGAATGGAATGTAGTATTGTTATAAAGCAATTGTACATAGACAGCTTAGAAGTTGCACGTAAAAGCAGTCATTTGTACAATATTGTATCTTACAATTTACTCCTTAAGAAAAAATCACTCTGTAAATAAGTGAAATTTTCTTCTCTACCTTTTGTATTGTAGCACCAGGAGGAATGGCACTTGAGCAGGAAGGTATTGGTTTTGTTCTTTTGACACATTGCCCTTCAGGAATATTTCATAGTTGATCTGCTTTTGCTTTGCTTTGAGTTGTCTGGTACTGCAGTTTAGAAGGGAAATAATTGTGAGTTAACCTTGCAAACCCATTTGAAGTTGAAGAGAAGGTTGTATTCACAATGCCCATTGAAATAACACCAAAGATAGAGACACAAGTTTAAGTCCTTGGTTTGAAAGCTTAATTGCCAGTTTTGACCTTTTTGAAAATTATAGTTTTTTCCTGTACTGAAATTTGACTGCCAGCTGGAAGTAGCCTAGAAAGGAGGCAGAGGTAGGGAATGATAATAAAATGGAGGTGTACAGCTTCACAAGACATCAATTGAAATCTCATAAGATTTCATAGAAGCTGCGTAATTTGATGAATCACATTGGAAAGATGAGTCATCTGAAGAAACAGTAAAGTTCTGTGACTTAATGATGTGGTGTAGAAATAACAAAGAGATACGAGAGGATGAGGAAATTGTTTAACATTTAAAAAAAAAACAACGCCTTGAGAATTTTATAGTATATATGCATCTTATGATAAGCAGCTAGTGTCTTAATGAGGTGCTCCTTACTTAAGTGAAGTCAGGAGGTTGAGACCTCCTTGGTATCCTGCATGCTTTTATTGGTCAATCCAGTAGAATTGTATGCAAGTGAAATGCAGTTAAGAACAGTTTAGTTACTGATTTTCATCTATGGAAAGTGGTATCTAGTCTCTCTAAATAAATTTTACACAGTATCTTAAGTTTAGTAGAGTATTTCTATTTAACTTTGAACAAGGAGGCATTTTTTAAATCATAGGCATGGATTATATCAGTGCTGTTGATGCAGAGAAATGGGAATGTTGCTGTGCTTGGAGTATCCTTTGGTTTTGAATGGTTTCTGCATTTCTGCATAGGAAGAAAGAAAGTCTGTAGGTGCTCCAGGCAGGCTTATTCTAAGTACAGGGTTAAACTAGTGGATAAATAACAGGTTTAAATGAGAGTGTAGATATTTACATTGCAATTTAGCATTTTGGTTACTGTTTAGTGGTTATGTTTGATTGCACTGGTTTTTGAAGTAGTTCAGAGTGTGAGAACCATGTTCCTTCTGAAATGTGTTGAGTTGCACATTTTAAAGTTACTTGCTCAGAGACACTCAAATTCTGATTATTCATCGATGCTGTGTTCAGCACTTCTGTGTTTTGTTTTGTTTTTTTTTTTTAATTTGGATTATAATTCCTGCTTGTAATTTTGCCTGCTTTCTTACTATTTCTTTCATGTTAGAACTAAAGTTTATTTAAAAGTTCCAAAGTAAATTTTTTTTTTTTTTACTTCTTTGAAAAGCATTCAGAGATCTAATGCTTACTTTACTGCTTTTTTTTCACAATAATATCTTTTCCACTTTGCATTTCCTTCCTCAAGCATAAATACAGTCTTACACAAACTTTCACTCTGCTACGGATAAAATCTAATTTTTCTGTATGCGAAACACTGTTTTTCACTGATTATGCTGTAGACATTATGTTCATAAACTTTTTTGTCCTTAACATGCTCTTAATAATGAGCTCTTTATTAGCCTCTTTGTAATATATAACAGCAACACTGATGATTCTGCATCTGCTGACTTCAAGTTGGCTGGTGTTTTTATACTGTAGAATCACATGAATAAATGGAAAGGAGATAATACAGAGGGACAGGACCTCTCAGGACTCTTTCCCGTTTTGAGAATGATAGAGAATTTTAGGAAGGAGATTTTATTAACTGACTCCCATTTTAATTTTTACTTTTAAGCTGTAAATAAAATATGTAAACAGTTTTTCTTTTCCAAACAAAGTTTTTTGTTACCTGGTAACACTGAGTGTGTGGTTGGTTTGCTAGCTAGAGAGTTAGTAAAAATGTTATGACTGAAGATCTGAAACAGTAAATATATTGTGGTCTGTGCAGTCCTTCATGTTCCACATGTCATGCGGTCTTAAAGCTTGTGTGTAGTCTTAAAACTTGGGTAAAGTTCCTTGAACTGTACAACCTGAAAATGGAAAAGTAAATACTGTACAACTCCTTGTTATCTATGTGATACCAACAAGATCATGCAGAATTTCTCATGCCTCTGTCTGTGTTGTGGTACAATTAGACTCAGATCAGGTTTTCTTTGTAAGTGAAATTAGTTCACCAGTGACTAATGAAGCTTATGTAGTAAGTTACTTGGCAATATAGCAAGCAACATTTCATCACAAGAAGAGATTTGAGTTTGGCTGGTACCACATAACAGGCCCTGTTCTAAAACCCTTCTGAGAAAACAGGGTTAGAATTCAGTAGCTCTTACATGCTGGAATAAACCACATGGTTGGTTTAGAGCATAGCTCTTTGATTTCTTGTTTCTGGGATTTGCTTATATTTTTGTGTGTGTGTGTCTTTGTGTTTTGTTTTGTTTTCCCCTCTGTGTGTGTTGGTGTGGTTTTTATTTGCTTGCTTATTTTTAACTTGCAGCCAAATGGTTCTACTCGAGCTTCCCAAATATCCAAATCTGAATGGCTCACCTTTTCACTTGGCATTTAAAAAAAAAGAATAACCAGAGTTTATAATTTCAGATTCACTCTTAGTTTCTTAGAATTTCAAAATTATGCCACTAAAGAAGCATGTCTCATAGTATGTCTGTTAAACTAATAGTAGAAGTTCAAACATGTGAATCTGTTCCTGCTTTTCAGGGCAACATTACAGTGTGTTTGTATTTTTATGGTAAATGGTGTCACCCTTTCATGCTGGAGTGTGCAAATCCAGTGGTTTACTAAAATTTTGTTTATCTGACAGTTACAAAGTTACAACATTTATAACATAACCACCAATTCAGACATATTAAATACTTTTCTGAAGCCTGAAAGTACACCTGAGAGAGCAGTGTATGCTTCATTTAATTCAGTTTTTATCATAATTGAATAAGGGGATGAAATTTCTTTCTTAAATTACTGTTAGTATGAAACTTGAAACATTCAATTGCATGGTCTACAGATGTATAATGTTGCTTGGTTTTTGGTTTGATGTTTTGTGTTTTTGTTCTAGCAGCAATATCTTTCAGGATCTGAACTAAACTTTTAGTCCAGTTCTATGAATTTTGTTCAGAACTCAATTTCTTGATGTCAATATTGCCCAGAATTCTTTATCATAATATTAAAATATTATCAGGGCCTATGTAAAAATAGTAAGTGACATTTCTTCTGCTTTCTTCTAGGTTTCAGACAGAGACAAACAACAAAATGAACAATCCAGCTATAAAGCGAATAACAAATGAAATTATCAAATCACCTGAGGATAAACGAGAGTATCGTGGACTGGAACTGGCAAATGGCATTAAAGCTCTTCTCATTAGTGACCCCACCACAGATAAATCTTCAGCAGCACTTGATGTACACATAGGTATTTAATGCATGTTGTGTTCATTACGGCATTAATAAAATTGCTTCAAGTTTTGGTATCTTAATTGAAATAAACTGGCAGGCATGGTATCCAGTTGGCAGCTTCACCTTTTATTGTCATTTAGAGTTTGTTTAATTCTTTGACACATAAAGTTGAAAATTATTAGAGTTAATTAAATACTCTCACTGTACTCTCTGTTTACTCAAGTGTAGCTCAGTCAGTAGAAAGACTTCTTTTAACCATTAAGTTTCATGTTATGAAAGATCTTTTGTAAGCAGAAAAGGGGCGGGTGTGAGTGCAATTATTTCAGACATCTCCATCTGTTATGTCAGACTTTTTTTTTTTCCTTCATGTTAAGTTGTTGATGTGTAGAGGTGAGAAAATGCTGTAGTGCTGGAAGAGTTGGAAGGGCACTCCCTAACTCCAGTGATGCTTAGGTGTGCAAATAGAAACACTGGAAATAGAAGGGAAGGTAGTTACTTTGATTCCTTGGAACAATGGAAGCCTTTCTTAGATCTGAGGTATTTCTCAAGCTTGTGTAGTTTCTCAGTTGCTTGGAAAGTATGATGGGCGCACACATTACATAAGGATCCTCTTGCTGTGTTTGTAGTTGGGAATTCTGGCCGTTGGTGTTTGGACAGAAATAGTAGAGCAGCTTTGAAAATTTCTGGCCTTTTTTATTATGGAAATAGCTGTCACAAGTCATTATCTCACTCAGAGGATGCCAAATGTGATTTTGTTAGGTGCTGTGACAGTAATAGCCAACTGCAGCATCCAGTTCCTGCACATGTACTGAAGGAGATGTATCTGTTGCCTTCATTTCTCCCATTGCACATCATTGCATACTCCAAAGCAGGTCACTCTAACTTCCACATTTCTGGCTTCCATTCTTGCACATCATTATTGTCTCTTAATCCATCCGCCTTCATAATTACTAGTGGGTCATCAGTAGCTGCTTGCGTTCAGGCAATTACAGGTTATCAGTCATCCTATAAACCACAGGATAAATACCTCCTTAATTGTGGTTGGCAATTGCTGCCCTTTACACAGTGCAATTATTAAAGTCAAGGTATAGAAGTCAGAACACTGATCTGCCAGCTCTTTACCGATTATATGAGTCATAGACTTCAACGAAAAAATTGCCTTTGTAAGGCAGTACAGACTGATTTGGAGAGGCAATTTGAGACACTAATTGGTTCAGTTACTAAGTCTTTATTTTATTTTTAAGATTGAATTTAGTTGACTGTAGCTGCTCAAGTGTCTGCTTACATTTACAGAATTGGTATAATTGCCTGAGGCAACACACTGTAATATAAAGCACTTTAAAAGACTTAACAATTTAATACTATTTTCTGAATGGTTACATGGAATTTTTCATCCTGCAGGATCTTTGTCTGATCCCCCCAACATTGCTGGGCTTAGTCACTTTTGTGAGCATATGTTGTTTCTGGGAACCAAGAAGTATCCAAAAGAGAATGAGTATAGCCAATTTCTTAGTGAGCATGCCGGGAGCTCAAATGCTTTCACAAGTGGAGAACATACCAACTATTACTTTGATGTATCACATGAACATCTGGAAGGTGCACTAGACAGGTAAATAGATTTTTGTGATATGGGTGCACTTTGAAATTGTGTAAAAGTTTGTGGGTTTTTTTTGTTTGTTATAATATTAAATGTTTGAAGGTGCCATCTTTTGTTAAAACTGATACCAGGTATTTTTCAGTACAAAAGTTGCTCAGGTTTTTTCAGCTAGCAGAGTTCTTTGCTGAGGCAGTATTTTTGAAGTTCAAAGTTTGTGTTTACACTGAATGTTTCTGGAAATATTCATATTTCCGTCCATATGGGACACAGAATATGATTATGGGCTTCTGCATTGTGCAAATACTCTGATTGTATAATCAGGATCAAGCAAGCTTTTGCCCTTCTGCTCCACGGGAGGTTTCCAGCCTCCCTGAGCTCGCCTTAGGACACCTGTTACGCTTTGACAGGTGTACCGCCCCAGTCAAACTCCCCACCTGCTGCTGTCCCTGGGGAGGGTCATGCCCAGCACTCGCCGGCTGCTTGGTGCCAGAAGCAAGAGCCCCTCTTGGGGCTCTCCCTCCCACCTCACCGGGTAAGTGAAAAAACTATCAGAGTAGTGGTATTTCACCAACGGGCGGCTTGCCCCGCACTGCCGAGTGCGTGCCTGGCCTCCCACTTACAATCAAATACTATGCTTCCTGTAGGATTCTTATTTCATTGATAGCAAAAGAAGGATGAAGTCTAGAAATACATTAGGATGCCTTTAGTAAAGGGAACTCACTGAAATCTCTGCCTTTTGCGGGAGGGGACAGAAATTGAAAGATGTGTAGTCAGTGAGGTAAAGAGTGGTTTTTTTTTTCCCCTTTGGATTTTCCCTTAATGTCTGACTAGACTGACTTGATTTGTGAGATTAAAAGAGTCTCTTGCAGCTAAACTTCAAAACAGTAGAAATGTTCAGTGTATTAATTATGATGTAAGGTCCTTGATCGTCATAGTACCTTATATGATGAATATATTGTTGTCTGCATTTATAAATAAAGAAACTGAGAAATACAATTTGTGAATCAGTGTCAGAACTGTTACATAATTTATAACTTTTGCATTACAGAAATAATATATTAGTGTGCTTACAGGAGGTACATAAACTTCATAGTTTTCTGTTACTGTTTATGTACAGTACTTTTGCCTTTAATTTAAATTTTTCTGTTTAGATTTGCCCAGTTTTTCCTGTGCCCTTTGTTCGATGAAAGCTGCAAAGACAGGGAAGTGAATGCTGTTGATTCTGAGCATGAGAAGAACCTGATGAATGATGCCTGGAGGTTGTTCCAATTAGAGAAGGCTACTGGGAATCCCAATCATCCCTTCAGTAAATTTGGAACAGGTTTGTCAGAATATAATTGTCCATCCATTGGAGTTCTGTGTAACACACAGTAGCATTGTTTATATAAAATTGTTAAAGGCAGACTGAAACAATTGCCTTCATCCCCCTTTCTATACAAGTTTATTATGGTGCTTTATCATATTTTCCACATCGTAGACCAAACAGAGCTAGACAAAAACATAAGAAACAGAGTGATCCAAGACTTGCAGTACAGTGATGAAGCATCCTTTATCATTCTGATAATTACTGTAGTGAATGCTGTTTTCCTCTTACTGGATTTGTCATAATTTGGTACTGTTAAGTCTTTGTGCATAACAAAGTGAATGAACTGTGTTTAAATAGTTGTTAGTCACATGCTGGTTTTGCTAGCTAGTATTGCATTAGGACCACATGACAGTGTCTAGGTCAAGTTGCAAAGATGAGCAAGTTAATGTGAAAATATTAACTTGCTCAAAGATGAGCAAGTTAATGTGAAAATTTATATTCTTATAGTAAGAATATAAAACTCAAAATGTAAGAATAGTAAATATAAAACTCAAGTTTTATAGTAAGAATATGAAACTCAAGTTTTAAAGTAAGAATATAAAACTCAAGTTTTATAGTAAGAATATAAAACTCAAAGTAAGAATATAAAACTCAAAATCGTAAGCACAGAACACAACAGTAGTAGATGGACAGATAAAAAGGTCTTGGACAAATCCTGATCTTATGGTTGTAGGGTTTTTTCTGGCTTTATTATTCACAGAATGCTTAGTAACAATTTAAACACCCCAAAACCTCGATTTATAAAGCATTAAAGTAAGATGCTGTATTTATGGTCAAAACCACAAAAGTTAGATGTGTTGGCAGAAGTTTCAATTTTATTTTTTTTTAATCAAAGTTATTTTCTACATGAATTTGGTTTTGAAGCTGTCAAAGTGAGAGGGCTATTAATTCATGCACTGCACTGTTCGATCCTTGAGCATGAATGCATTTTGTGGCTGGGTTGGTTTGCTGAATGAATAGTTGATGAAAATATTTGGTACAGTAGGATGATGAAAGGGCAGATAATGGGCTTAAAGAGTTAGTTAGTTTCTTCCTCTGTCTCAAGAAAGAGTATTTTTGCACCTGTTGATGTAGGTCATAGTTGAGGAGCTGGTAGCCAGCTGCTGCAGGAGCGTGTTTGCTCTGTTCACCAAGAGAGACAGGCTGTCTGAAATGGGGAAACTGTAACTACATTCTCCAAAGAGGTGAATTTGAAAATGTGGGCAGGCAAACATCTAAAGTACATTCTGTAATCTCTGCTACAGAAGAGATTATTTAATTTTTCTATAGCACTCAGAAAATGGAAGTGAAAGTTGCAGAATGTTTTTCTGCAATTAAAGGTTTTATAGCTGATACAAGTGAAATGTTTTCACGGGGAGAATACCTGACGTGCTCAAATTCAATAGCAGTAGTCATACTCACCTCTTCTTACATTAGGCTCTGATTCTGAAATTAAATTATAGCGTGTAGCCTTCCTGTAGATTTGACTTTGCAGATGTAGAGCCCAGCTTTGATGTTTTTTATTTACTTAGAGATGACAGCTGTGGTAGGGTTTTCATGACAAGTGTGGGTGGCATCCTTCTTACTGTTCCCTTTTGTCTGGTTGAAATGTTAGTCTAGCAGAATATGAGAATGACTTCTTTTGAAGCTTCAGGTCACTCCTCGTAGCAGCCTGTTTTCCAGCAAACCTTCTATTACTCTTTGTCTGTCCAGAGAAACAAATTCAGCTTAATCTTCCAGTTTTCTTGTTAGGATGTGCATTTTGTCCCACATACCCTTCATCCATCTCCCTGAGTTGATGCCTATGATGGTAATTCTTCTCTGTCAGTACCTTCACCAGTGTTAAGTACTTTCCTAGGTATTTTGCATTGTCTAGAGTCCATTTTACATCTACAAGACTCTTGCCTCTTAATGCACTCCAGTATTGTAACAGTGCAGTTTCTGAGCTAAAGCTTTGGCTTATTTTTGTTGTATTTTATTCTGTTTGTATTTTGTTTCAACCTATGTGTTGATCCTGTGGGTAAGAAAACCTACGTTTCATTTGTCTGCAGATAGTGAGGAATACAGACAAAAATATTTTAAACATAATACCCTAATTATGCTTTTTAGGTGTAATTAAGAATCTTTGCTTTCACCATATATGTGATTTTTGAAAATTAAAGGAATGTATTGCTCTTCATGATGATTTGTTGACTGTTGCAATTCTAATTAGACTTGTATCTAATCACCAAACATCTGGACAATATACCTGTCATATATTATTTATGTAGCTCATTTTGCCTCATTGATTCGTATTCACTTACATTGTGATTGTAGGATTTGTGCACAGGGCATACATGCATGGCAGGCATGCTCTCTTGTCTTCTCACTCTTGCTGTTTTTTTCCTGTATGTACAAAAGTCAACTTTTCTGCTACACTTTCTTGCCTTATTTTTCTTCTGCATCCCTTGCTCTCTTCTGTACCTGGTCTGATTGTGGCTTAAGGGTTCACAAGAGTTAACAGAGTATTTGCACATCTGATCTGTAGATTCTGTTGACCATTTTGTGTGTCCACGTAGTAGTGAGAAGTGGAGTCAATTAAAATCCAGTGTAGACTCTGATTTTCTTCTTAACCTTTACTAAACATGAGTTCTGTTTTGATTATAAATGTGGAGTGTGTCCTTAGAATAAATCATTGAAATCTTGATGTAAAAATTGCACTAAATAACAGGAGAATAATTTAATGGAGAAAGTTTGGTATCTCCTGCTTTTGGGCTTATTCAGGAAGAGTTGTAGTTTTCTTCCTCTCTAGTCCTATTCCCCTACTGCAGCAACAGCTTAGCTGTTTTTGAAGCAGAACAGTCAGAATTTATAATTACTATTTGTAAATTAGTAAATATATATTTAATATAACTTGTGTCACACAATGCTACAAGTAATTTCACACAGTGATTCCTGTGATAGGAGTATGTATATTGGAGCAAAAACCTGCTGTAAATGTACTAAATTAAAAACCTCTGAAGTAGAGCCTGGCCTTACATGCTTTTAAGTAACCCATTTAAATTAAAACGATTAATTTGGGAGACTAAACCGTCTTTGGTTCTTTAGGAATGTGCAGATTGAGAGTGGAAGTATTTATTGTCTCTGATATGCTGAGACAGCACTGATCCAATTTACTTATTATACATGGTTTGTTGTTGTTTGTTTTTCAAATTACTATCCATCTGTAGGAAAGCAGACTTACTAATTTATATTTTTCATTTTTAAATTCATAAACATCAAATGTAGTTAACTTCTTTTTAAATTACAGGGAACAAACTCACTCTGGAAACTAGACCAACCAAAGAAGGAATAGATGTAAGACAAGAGCTATTGAAGTTCCATTCTACTTATTATTCATCAAATTTAATGGCTATTTGTGTCTTAGGAAGAGGTGAGTTTTATTCTGCTGGTTGAGTAAGACTTTACGTGTATTTATGTTTGAAGAAAATATAAGCAAATGTAAGTGTTGGAAAACCTACAGAAGGGAAGAAAGTAAAACTTGTACAGGCTGACCAAACGTAATTTTATGTTTAGTGAAGTAACTTGCAATGTATGAATTTTCATGTTTGTAAGTGTACTGCAGGAAACATGAACTGAAAATTTTAAATCTATTATCGAGTCACCAGTTCCTGTCTTTGTATGTTTGTCTTGTGAAGACTGGCACCTGTCTGGTTTCTGATGTTGAGAGGGCTTTCCATACTGTTTTCATATTTTAGACTTATATTTCCACTACAAAATTTTCTGTATTATCAAAGGATAAATCTGACCTAACGTTCAGATAAAAAGGCTTTACTTCAGTTTACTTTTTACAGTTGCCCAAAGAAGTGGTAAATGCTCCATCTCTGGCAGTGTTCAAGGCCAGGTTGGACAGGGCCTTGGGCAATATGGTCTAGTGTGAGGCATACCTGCCCATGGCAGGGGGGTTGGAACTAGATAATCCTAAGGTCCTTTCCAACCCAAGCCATTCTGATTCTGCTTCTGAACTAACTTAACAGAGGTTCCAGCTGCTTAAAATTTTCCACAGTTGAGTTGATATTTTACATAGGCTTGCCAGAAGCTTAATAACAGTGTTGAAAAGTGTTTGCGTTTTGAAAATACGCTGTCAGACTAGTATTTGCATGGTGGTTTACAATAATGCTCGGATGATGAGTGTGAGTGAAGTAAAATTCATTAGCAAAGTGAAATCTGCCTTTACTACTCTCTGTTTACAGAATGCTGGGTATGAAGTTGATTAACAAAATGTACCTGTTTAATTTCAATCATAGCATATACCTGAATTGTTTTTTATTGTAGATTTTTGAGGTGTGCAGACACAGTGAGCATTCTGTTTGTTAACTGAATCCAAGTTTTGTGCATATACTCACTACAGATCAGTTCCAGGCTCCTTAATTCCTTTCAAATCTATTTATTATTACATCTCACCTGCTGTAACATCACACATTGATTTGACTATGGTGAAGGTTTTTTTTCACTGTTGCAAGCTATATGTTGCAAGCTGTTGTGCTATATGTATTTTTTATTTTTTTTAAAGGTGGGGTATCAGTCGTGTTACTGGTAGGTATGCAGGCAATACCAATAGGGCATAATGTATGTCGTGTTAAAAAACCTTTTGGTAGTAGTGGAAATCTTCAAGTAAACACAGTAATACCGATGAAGATAGCTTGTAAATATTTTTCAATATAGTGATTTTATTTTTATTGCTATTTAAAAGAGTGCTTCCCCCTTCTCAGGTTTTTCTTGTTTGTTTTATCTGAGCAAAATAAAAAAAGTTTCTATAAAAATATTTATTAATTGAAGGTAAGTAGATAGTGATCAGAGTTTAAAATAATTGAATTAAAATTCTCTTCCTCATTTAACAGTTCTGTTTTGAAGGTTTCAAGGCATCTTTTTTTCAACTAGTTGTTTACTGGACAGGCAATATTCCAGGACAGACAAGATTTGCATTTCAAATGTCAATAAAGTATAAAAAATAGTCTTAAAATCTGTTCCTTTCAAACATTTCTGCCGTTTGCACATATGTTTTTTTTAAATGCAAAATACAAAAATCATTAAACTCTTGAATTTAAGTGGTTTTACTAGTCATTTTTCACAGTCAAATTCTGTTTGTGTTGTCCTTGTAAATAGTTTAATATTTAGAAAAAATAGAGCCTTTGAAACAATCTTTGGGACTTTTCCTCTCAATCTCATAAAAGAATTTTTTGAAAGGTAACTTGGGTTGTTTGTCTGCCTATATACAAAATGCTGTACAACTGCCCTTATTTGTTGTATTTAGGTGGTTGTTACTGTAATAGTGAAGTGCTATTTGGACAAAAATTGCATGTTATTTTCCCTGAGAAGACACTGTTATTTGTTCAAGCAAGAGAGTTATGCAGTTACTTTCTGGAAGGCTTTATGTTCGTGACTGCTTTGGCTATTTGAGGGCTTGCCTCTAGCATCAAATTTGAAAATTTACAAGTATTTAAAAATTATTTTCAGGGAGCTTCACCCACAGAAAGCAAACTGTAGAAAACATACCTCATTAGCATTATTCCATAAATTCTTTGCTGAAATATGTCGCTATCAATGTAGCGGTACTGCTGATTAATACATAGATAGTTAGAAGTCCTGTAACAAAAATAGGTTGAGTTGCACACTGCAAGTCCCCCATGATCTGTCTCTCTTCACTCCTGGGCATTCTGAAATAAATGGATGTCTAAAGTTGTGCGCAGCCTATATAGTTCTCTTGTTTTCCCAGCACTATATATATATAATGTAAAACAAATAAAAATATACCAGTGTCAGTAAAAAGTGGTGGGGGAACCAAAATACAATTTCTGTAGCAAATAGTATTAGATATTCAAAAGCTTGCTAAAAGTTAAATAATGGAATTCAGTTACTTATTTTTAGCTATCAAAAGCAAAATTCACTGAGTAATCATAGAACAGCTTTAGCATGGCAGTTTACATACAGAATTCTAAGTGGAAACTTTTTCAGTAAGAAGCACCGTGGCAACTGGAAATCTGACCTAAAGAGAACCCTCACTGTTGTTGTAAAGCATAAATGAACATAGAATCATAAATAGTTAGGGCTGGAAAGGACCTTAAGATCATCTAGTTCCAGCCCCTCTGCCACGGTCAGGGACACCTCACACTAAACCGTGTTACCCGAGGCTCTGTCCAGCCTGGTTTTGAACACCACCAGGAACGGAGCATTCACAACTTCCTTGGGCAACCCATTCCAGTGCCTCACCTCCCTTAAAGAACTTCCTTATGTCCAATCTAAACTTCCCCTGTTTAAGTTTTAACCCATTACCCCTTGTCCTATCACTACAGTCCCTAATGAAGAGTCCCTCCCCAGCATCCTTATAGGCCCCCTTCAGATACTGGAAGGCTGCTATGAGGTCTCCACGCAGCCTTCTCTTCTCCAGGCTGAACAGCCCCAACTTTCTCAGCCTGTCTTCATAAGGGAGGTGCTCCAGTCCCCTGATCATCCTTGTGCCCTTCCTCTGGACTTGTTCCAACAGTTCCATGTCCTTTTTATGCTGAGGACACCAGAACTGCACACAATACTCCAAGTGTGGTCTCAGGAGAGCAGAGTAGAGGGGCAGGGTCACCTCCTTTGACCTGCTGATCACGCTCCTTTTGATGCAGCCTAGGGTATGGTTGGCTTTCTGGGCTGCGAGCGCACACTGCCAGGTCTTGTTCTCATTGATCAACACCCCCACGTCCTAACCTGCAGGGTGCTCTGAATCTCTTCTCTGCCCAACCTGTAGCTGTGCCTGGGATTGCTCCGACACAGGTGTAGGACCTTGCACTTGTTATGGTTAAACTTCATAAGGTTGCCATCAGCCCACCTCACAAGTGTATCAAGGTTCCTCTGGATGGCATTCCTTCCCTCCAGCTTATCAACTGAACCATGCGGCTTGGTGTCATAGGCAGACTTGCTGAGGGCGCACTCAATCCCACTGTCCATGTCAGCAATGAAGATGTTGAACAAGACCAGTCCCAACACCAGTCCCTGATGGACACCGCTCGTTACTGGTCTCCAGCTGGACATTGAGCCATTGACTACAACTCTTCGCGTGTGGCCATCCAGCCAGTTCTTTATCCACCGAGTGGTCCACCTATCAAATTGATGTCTCTCCAATTTAGAGACAAGGATGTCATGGGCGACAGTATCGAACTCACTGTATTTTGCAGGTGTGGATAAGAATAATGGTCTCTTAGTAGATGTACATGCCATTCAGAAAGCTTTATTGCACAGTGACTCACCTCAGTTTGCATTGTTTTTTGGGGGTTGTGTTTTACTTCTTAGGTTTTTTTTTTCTCTGAGCTGTTCTCTAAGTGCAGGAGCATACATGTGTTGGGTAGGAAAGATTCTGCCTTCTAAATCCAACTGGGATTCTAAATCGAACAAGGTGACTGTTTTTTTAAATTTTTCAAGGATTAAGGTACTTTGAGCAATCCAAGAAACGCCCACCCTTGAAAGGCGTGTGCTAAAAAATTTGACGAATGTGTCTTTCTTATTTTATTCTCACTTTGAGAAGGGCTCCAAAATGCATTTATTTAAGCAGATAGCTATTTTGAAGGCAGTGTTTCAACATAAATGGTACAGGTCAATTTAGGTGAATTCATGCAGAACATCAAATTCTGTCTGTCTGCAAATGGACTACCCGTTCTTTTTGGAGAGTAGGACTGGAAGTAGAGTGGATTTTAAAGTTGAAGTGCTTAAACAGGTCACAGATGTGTGTGAAATTTTACGGCACTGAGGACAGATGACCCTGGCTCACAGGGTACGTGAAGTACTGGAAGTGAACTGTGGCTGAAGAAAATCCAAGTTTTGGCAAAGGTGCTTTCACTCTGGAAAATTTGCAGCTGTGATACCATGTCTGTTAACCTTTTTGTGGAATATTTATATTTTGTAAATGTGCAATATCTGATGTGTCTTTTCTTTGGTCTCAGCTTAGCTTCGTCAGTAAAATTTAGATATGTTTTTTCTGGTTACTGGATTTATTTTAATCAGGGTTGAAGCCTTCCTTTAATAACCACGGTCCTTAAAGCATGTTATAGTTCAGAGTTCAAGTATTAAATATAGGTTTCCTTTTTGAAATTAATAATCATCATACCGTTAAAACTAGTTTTCTATAGAATTCATGTCTCCCCCAAAGAATATACAAAATTCAAATTTGCCAGACTCTTCAAATAATGATTATGCTTTTTCTAATGTTTCTGTATTCTAGAATCCTTGGATGAGCTGACTTGCTTAGTAGTAAAGTTATTTTCTGAAGTAGAGAATAAAAATGTTCCTATACCAGAGTTTCCTGAACATCCTTTCCAAGAAGAACACCTCCGGGTATGTACAGAGATATATCTTCTGTCAGGAGTGTATATCTTAAATGATGGTTTTTCATGTTTCAGTAGTGCACTGTGCACTTCATTACTTTCATATCAATGTCCCTGTTAAGTTCCATATTTATTTATTAATTTTCCACCTACCTTTCTTTCCATGCTGAGTACAGTGTTATGTAGTTTATAGTAAAGGTTGTATATTTGGTTGCAGCTGTAAGTAACTGAGATAATTCTTTTTTTGTGTTTGCATCATGAATGACTTAAGTATTGCCCTAAGTTTTACTTTCCAGATTTTGTTGATATGTTTGTAATAATGTATCTGTGCATGTGTGAAGGGAACATATGTGCTCCTGAGATGAATAAAATAATGAGAGTTCCCTTTTGTTTATGGATCTCCTTGTTTATTTCCCCCTCAGCAACTTTACAAAGTGGTACCCATTAAGGACATTAGAAATCTTTATGTCACATTTCCTATACCAGACCTTCAGAAGTACTATAAATCAAACCCTGGCCATTACCTTGGTCATCTGATTGGGCATGAAGGCCCGGGGAGTCTTTTATCAGAGCTTAAAGCCAAAGGTAAGGCCTTTGAAGGTAAAAAATTAAAAATTAGTTTATTACACATTTTTCTGAAGCTACAGTTCACTTAAAATTGACCTCCCTATGTTAGAGCTTCCAACTGTTTGAGTAGTTTGGGTTGTAAGTAGTTTTGCGCTGTATTTTTGTTCTGTTGTGGGTAAGAATAACTAACAGGCACTCTGACTACTGTAGCTATTATTTCTTGCACTCCTCTTTATCTGCCCTTGTCTAGAGGGTTATATGAACTTTGGCATAATGATCTTGGCCCTATTCTGTCACTGACTTAGAGAATACTGTCAGGTCCCTTAATGTCTGGAAAAGAAGAGTGTGTGTTTCCTAGTTTTCTTCATATTGCTGTTTGCAAATAGCAATAAATTAGCCAGTAATCAAGTTATCTTGAGTTTCTCATGTCACTCTGAGCAGAAAATCAGACAGGTCTGATGTTTAACTTGAATCATTGCTATAGGAGTTAAGGAAGAGGAGAACGTGTAAAGTAGTCAAAATGTAAAAAAGAAAAAGGAAGAAAATGTAGCCTATATTGTTACAGATTTCTTTATGTAATATGTTTTCTACTTTATTTCGTAGGATGGGTAAATACTCTTGTTGGAGGACAGAAGGAAGGTGCGAGAGGTTTCATGTTTTTCATCATTAATGTGGACTTAACAGAAGAAGGACTTTGTAAGTGAAGCACTATGTCGGCATTCCTTGTTATTCCTGATCTGATGGGTTTGTGTTTGTATCCAGAGAGACTAAATGTGTTTATAGCTTGAAAGCCAGTTCATTTTAATTAACTTGTTGTTACTCTGTGTTTAGATCTCTGAGTATGCTAGCACGCTTCATCTAACATAAGAAACCAACTTAGTTGAGGTTCTATTAAAATATTTCATTAAGTATTTTAAAGTAAATGGGTTGTAAAAGCTGTTAATACCTGTGTGTGCTACTTATTCATGCTAATTAGACCTGGGTTAAATTGTATTATACATCAGTATCTTAATGTAAGACATGTTTACTACAGTTTTCAGAATTAGCTGGGAACAAGTGCATGTCTGAGGAAAAAGTGTTTAACTTTGCCTAGTGGGATTGCATATGTACTTGAGTGTCTTGATGTGTTGGGGTGTAATTAAAAATATAAGATTGCATGTTTGTGTTCATCAGAATTCTTTCTTAGTGCAGAGCTGAGTGAATTACTAAGCAAGTCTTTTTCTTTCCAGTGCATGTTGAAGATATTATTTTGCACATGTTTCAGTACATTCAAAAGCTACGTACAGAAGGACCTCAGGAATGGGTTTTCCAAGAGTGCAAGGTAGAGTGATTGGTACTTGAAATACGTGTTTGTATTTTTAGAGTTTTGGATTATAAGTATTAAGAGATTCCTTGGCTGTGGAAATAATCTTTAATAATTGCATGGTAAAGTTTATTAATTTTAGAGGTGCAACATGACACAAATGACAAGTACATTCAGAACATACTGTCTTAATGTAGTTGTGGAATGCTCTTACAGAGCTGTGAGCTGATGTTTTAAAATAGCATAGTGGAGGTAGAGAAAGAAAAATCTTAATCTGTCCACAGGGACTCTACATAACCTTCCTTAGTTTTCACTGAAAGTGGAGAGGGAGAAACATTTGCTGTGGAGGGTAACACTGAACTGGAAATTCTGTTGTTCTACCCCTGTCTTCTTCCACATGTCAAATCATATAGTTGAGACTGTAAAGGCAGTAGGACATCGATCTGCTCTTTGTTCTTTCACCTTTTTGAGAGGTGAATTAAAACTTTTCATGGGGTACTTTGGCTGTACACTTCAGTCTTTGCAGAACTGTTCGTGTTTCTTTTGAGTCTGTGTGGTTCTGTGTGCGCAGAGCAAAACATGTAAAGTATCCTGTTACTACACTCCTCAATGACAGTGTGAAAGTGTCATTTTTACGTATAGACTTGTTATTTCACTACAAATACTTGGTTAAAGAGTTCTTGATCCATTTTAGCTTTATTTGGTGAAAACTGTTGAGTATGTTCCAAGCATAGGAAATTCTGCAGATGCCTTAACTTTTCTTGCATTTTGACACTGTATACCTGTAAAAGAAGTCTCATTACCCTCTGCTAAAAGTCCCAAAGGAATTTTTTCACTGCCATTGTAAGCAAATACAGGATTTTAAAGAGGCAGTTTCATCCTCCTGTCTCATCGCGGTGTTTTTCCCTTGCTCCTCTTGTAACAGTCCAGATATTCCTGAGGCTGTGAGGTGAGTCAGCAAGAGCTAGCAAAACAGTCAGAAAATAATCTTTTGAATTTATTTTCAGCTGAATTGTTGAATGAGTTTCACAGCATGGTTTCAGAGAAGGATGGACTGTCCTTTTCATTTGCTTTGTAGTCCTAGATCTCTTTAATTCACTCTTGCCATTGAATTCTAAGAATGATGTGTTCTGTGGCTAAGACAGCATAAAGAAATACAATTCTGTCTCTAAATGTACCTTTTGGTTGGCTGACAAAAGGAACAAAAAAGGAAGAGGGAAAGGCTTCATTAACATAACAACAGTAATTGCACTGGAACACTATGCATTGGTTGTATCAAAGTTGGTGTGTTTTCAAATTATTGGGAAATTTAAATATCTGAGCTTTGAGACAGATCTCTACTATGAACAGGACGTACAGGACTTGTGTAACACTTCACATTGTTTCTGAGTATTGTGCAACTTGAATATTAGTGAGAACTTTTGTGTTAGATACCTGTCTGATTACTATGAAGTGGCTACAACAAAACTCATTATTTTTTTTTACTTTATAAAAAGCAATTAAGTACCAATAATTATTCTTAAAATCATCCTTAATATACACTTTTCAACCATTTCCTACATTTTTTCCTAGGACCTAAATGCTGTGGCATTCAGGTTTAAAGATAAGGAGCGACCACGAGGTTATACATCAAAGCTTGGAGGAATGTTGCATGTAAGTGATTGTTTTTGGTGTTTGTTTACAATACAATAATCATCTAGTGCTATGTTTGATTATACTTTTAGTAAATGCAGGTGTTTGTAAAGGTCCCATATACTCCTGGAGCTTAGGAAGTCAATATTATGCTGCACAAATCTTAGTTTTGGCAGTCAATAAGTGAGATTTCCTTTCAGTCTCTACTATTTTATACTTCTGTGCTTGGTAGAACTGATTTTACAGTGACTGGAGTTGCCATTTGATCTGTTTCAGTGTTTCTTAAGACATATGTGCCATGTCATTCTGTGTCTACCTGATAGCTAAATATTCTCTAGGAAAATATTAGAAAACTAAGATTTTATCATCAGTACAAGCACTATGTTTCTAAATGTTTCTATAGTTAACAATGTTGAAATACTGCAGTAAGCATAAACATTCATTTTAAGAGGAAATTAGAAATGTTTGACTCTTACTAATGTGATCATGTACTGGTACGGAAAGAATCACGTAGCTTATACTTAATTTTTGTACTTCTTGCAAAATTCAGTTCCCTCATTTTGCACTAAAGGAAGATTTAGGCAGGGCTTTTTGTCTAGTTAAATTCTTACAACTTCTGTGCATTGCAGCCATTCTTCATTGCACAGCTAATGTCTACATCTTCTCAGAGGCATTTTTGCTTTCCTGGCCAAAATTCTTGTTAATGCTCCTACACCTTTGATTTGTGAAGTCTAAAATAACGATCTTAAACTTTGATATTGTCTTGCTGTTTACTAAAAAGCATTAGACAACTGTAATAATTTAAATGGGTATTTAAAGGAGCTCTGATTTGTCTCTTGCTTTTGTTGTGAAATACATAAAATCTCTTTAACAAATGGACTTCTGAAACAGTCTTTCAGTGGTCTGTATTTGTTGGATCATTCGCGATTACAATTGTTGTCTCCAAAAATGAGGCCAGGAAGTTGCCAGCAGTGTTCTAAAGAGCAGGGTATTGATTCAGGAGGGTTTTTTTTCACTGCCTTTTGTTTGCTGTGCTTTGCAGTATGAATGGTAATTCCGATTCTGCTGTTAGTTGCTTAAACACTAATGGAAAAAGAACTTTTCTAGTTCTCTTTATTGCCTCAAAATCATACTAAGTCTATACTTAGAATTAATTGAGCTAGAATTATTGTTTGGTGATTTCCCGCGCTTATGAATACTCACTGTTTTTTCATAACTTGGACAAGAACATCTGTGTAAGTTAGCATGAGTAAACGGAATGTCATAGGTTGTTACGTATTTACCAAAAAGCTTTACAAAACCTTTTTACTCGACAAAGCAGAAGTTCATCTTTAAAGCACTTTTGTGCTGGTCTAAGGAGTCGCCACAAAGGTCTTGCTGTCAAAATTATATTTCATATTTGTCATGTGTAGGCTTGATGCTTTCCAGGTAATTGTTCCCTGGTCTGCAGTGCTCTTTCTTTTGTTGTGTTTTGTCTCCTTAGTTGTGTAATTTTAAAAAATTTATTTCAATCTGATTGTCATATCTAGATGGTTTTAGTCTGTTTTGGTTTACTTACATTATGCTCTGACCTTGCTGAAAAGTAATCATAGAATAGTTGAGACTGGGCCTCTGGAGGTTATCTTGTCCAATCCTCTTGCTCATGCAATGCAGAAATAAAGTAACCAAAGAAAATTTATGTTCAATTCCACTTGGTGAGCAGACAGTGGCATTTGTCTGTAAAAGAAATAAAGTGTAGATTTCAGGTCTCTAAATCTCTATTGTCCTGATAATTTCAGATTAGAAGAGTGTTAGAAGAGATTATTTAACATCTCCCCTTCAAATTGCTCAGTCTGCTTAGCTGTTTATGCAGAATGTAGTTAAATGAGAATTCATCAGTGTACAATTAATCTTTTAGGATAGACCTTTCAAATTCTGGATCTTTAGCATTCGCATTTGAATTTTTTGTAACACAGGTTTGGTACATTGCCCTTGGTCTCCACACCTTCCCACAGCCCTTTCTCTTTTCCAAAATTTTCTGTGTGTTATACTGTGTTCTGGAAGTCATTCCACTGTAGTTGTTTGTATAATGTATGTAATTCAGAAAGCCATTTTATAATAATTCTGGTCAAAAGTACAACTGTATGGCAAACTGCAGGTACTCAGTGCTTAGGTCATCTAGTGGTTTTTCCATGCTAAACATTTATAGAATCATAGAATGGTTAGGGTTTGAAAGGACCTTAAGATCATCTAGTTCCAACCCCCCTGCCATGGGCAGGGACACCTCACAATAAACCATATCACCCAAGGCTTTGTCCAACCTGGTCTTGAACACTGCCAGGGATGGAGCATTCACAGCCTCCCTTGGCAACCTATTCCAGTGCCTCACCACCCTAACAGGAAAGAATTTCCTCGTTATATCCAATCTAAACTTCTCCTGTTTAAGTTTTAACCCATTACCCCTTGTCCTGTCACTACAGTCCCTAATGAAGAGTCCCTCTCCAGCATCCCTATAGGCCCCCTTCAGATACTGGAAGGCTGCCATGAGGTCTCCACGCAGCCTTCTCTTCTCCAGGCTGAACAGCCCCAACTTTCTCAGCCTGTCTTCATACGGGAGGTGCTCCATTCCCCTGGTCATCCTCATGGCCCTTCTCTGGCCTTGTTCCAACAGTTCCATGTCCTTTTTATGTTGAGGACACCAGAACTGCACACAGTTCTCGAGGTGAGGTCTCATGAGAGCAGAATAGAGGGGCAGGATCACCTCCTTCAACCTGCTGGTCACGCTCCTTTTGATGCAGCCCAGGATACAGTTGGCTTTCTGGGCTGCAAGCACACACTGAAGCCGGCTCATGTTCATTTTCCCATCGACCAGGACCCCCAAGTCCTTCTCCACAGGGCAGCTCTGAATCTGTTCTCTGCCCAACCTGTAACTGTGCTCCAACTCAGGTGTAGGACCTTGCACTTGGCATGGTTAAACTTCATGAGGTTGGCATCAGCCCACCTCACAAGCGTGTCAAGGTCCCTCTGGATGGCATTCCTTCCCTCCAGCATATCAACCGAATCACACAGATTGGGGTCATCGGCAAACTTGCTGAGGGCGCACTCAATCCCACTGCCCATGTCAGCGACGAAGATGTTGAAGACGAGTCCCAACACCGATCCCTGATGGACACCACTCGTTACTGGTCTCCAGCTGGGCATTGAGCCATTGACCACAACTCTGCGTGTGGCCATCCAGACAGTTCTTCATCCACCGAATGGTCCATCCATCAAATTGATGTTTCTCCAATTTAGAGACAAGGATGTTGTGTGGGACAGTGTAGAACGCTTTGCACAAGTCCAGGTAGATGACATCAGCTGCTCTACCCCTGTCCATCAGTTCCGTAGCCCCATCACAGAAGGCTACGAAATTGGTCAGGCAGGATTTCCCCTTAGTGAAGCCATGCTGGCTGTCACCAAGCACCTTGTTGATTTTCATGTGCCTTAGCATGCCTTCCAGGAGAATCTGCTCCAAGATTTTGCCAGGCACAGAGGTGAAACTGACTGATCTAATAAAGTTTTCCTATCAATTGTACTAAGAATTTTTGGAGGAACTAGGAACTGTTTTTTTTTTTCTTCAATTGTGACTTATTGCATGAGATTCGCAGTTTGATCCTAAAAAAACCCACTGGAATTATGTATGTCTAAATTTGTGTTATGCTGTCAGATAACTGAAATATACTTTCAATTACTGTAAACAAAATTTTGAATTCTTAGAGAATGCTAAAAAAACCCTTAGTGGTTTGTTGGTTTTGTTTTTGTGGTGGGTTTTGTTTTTTTATAATGGTGATGGGTTTTGTTTGTTTTGTTTGCAGTTTGGTTTATTGTTTTGTTTGTTCTGTTTTGGTTATGTTTCGTTTTTCTGAAATGCACTTTAATGAGTACTTTGTGTTTTGGTATCTTTGAAAATATCCTCCAGGGGTCAGCATTCGCTATGTTCTTTTTACTTCAGTTATTTCAAAACAGTGTTTAAAGGTGGGTGACTTCTTGTATTGGGACATAAGATTTTTCAAGAGAATGGTAATATGTTGTATATAAAATTACCTAATGGAGGAGAAATGATTGCGTAGTTTCACTACTTCTTCATCTTGTTTAGTTTTAAGAGAAAGATTTTAAGACATCTGTACACTTCTAACTTTAAATGACAATGCTAATACAGATCTTGTGACCAGAAACATATGCTTTTATTTCCTTTACAAAACAGTATTTCTTTCATGCTTAGTTTTTGTTTAATTTGTCTACATGCTTCTGGGCTTGTTTATATTTTTTTTTTTTTTAGTATTACCCTATAGAAGAAGTATTGGCTGCTGAATATTTGCTCGAAGAATTTAGACCTGATTTAATAGAGATGGTACTGGATAAATTGAGACCAGAAAATGTTCGGTAAGTTAAACTGCAATAACTGGTATTTTAAACCAAACATTATAAGAAAGCAGATGAACTAATGGAAACACAAGTCCTTAGGTGTTTCTTACAACTCCAAAGTAAATGTTGCTGAAAAAAAGCTTGTTCTATGTTAATGTCTCTGCTCCACATTGAAAATAAGCACTCTAATAAGAGTGCATGCAGCTCTTCCTGTTCAGACAGAAATGTCCTTTCAGTCCTTTCTATGCACCATGTCTTCCTCAGACTAGGAGGCAGATTGGAGGTAAGAAGGGAAGATTATGTCAGGCTTAGCAAGGATATACAATTGAGAGTCCTGAATCATGGAAATGGGGCAAACAGAAGAAACAAAGAGAAGAGGTTTGAGTCAAAGAGCCTGTGGTAGGACAGCAGCAGAACTGATGGGACCAAACCTGAAGGAGCTAAGCAGCAAAACTTCTGCAGGCTTAAATGCAGTAAAGCCTACAAAGGGCAAAGAAATGGAAGTTTACCTTCCTAGCTATGAAAATAATGTCTCTTGGGATATTTTAAAATATGAAATTAGTTCCTGTAACACAGAGTATTGTGTGAGAGACATTTTAGTAATTGTTTATTTAGAAAAAGAGGTGAATATTGGAAGAGAGAAGTCAGGTCATGCACTCAACTAAATATGTAAAATACTGAATAAGTGTTTCTTAATTGTTCTGTGCACTGAACCGGGCAGAGGTTGAGTAGAACAGTATGTAAATTGGTGTATGTATGTATTTGCATATATAATGTGGCACAGTCAATTACTAGAATGTTGCATGGGTAACAGTTCTACTAGTACTTTCTGGCCTGATTTTTTTTTTTTCCTGCCACTTGGTTCTTTTGATGTATCTTTTTTGTATATTGTAATATTAAATCAGTGGCATAGAGAGATTATTAAAATGGATGAAAACACAGAAACAAGCTCTTGCTTGTGATTCTGTATCAGTCTTGCTGTATCTGAAGACAGCGTGTTGTAAGCCAGGTATATGGTACAGAAAAATAATGATTTGGTGGTGTGTGTGTGTTTCTGACTGTGTTCCAAACTGAAGTATTCAGTCAGCGTCGGCTATAGAAAGACAGTGAGGCATGCATTCGTGTATTTCTGGAGTTTATATTTCAGCCTTCTGAAATTACTGTGAATTACTTAAAAGTTTGGGCACGAATCTTCACTGTGTTTGCATGGCAAGATCTGTTTGTATATTCATTTAATTTAAGATGCGTGTAACTTCATTTTCAAAAGATGGTATATTTCCAATACTGGATAAAGTGGATAAAAGTGGAACTGTATTTATAAATGTCATGGGGTTCTGGTGTTTCTGTGGGTATACAAGTAATGATAAAGTAAGTGAACCTGCCTATGTCAGTCACAGTAGTTTCCATAGTAATTAATGCCCTTTAAAGAAGAGCCTATATCCTTGTGTGTGGGTGTGCATCTCATGTGTAATGTGTGTGGGATACTGCAGCTGAAGCTTGAATATTTCCAGACCATATTTTGAACAAACACTACTTTAAAAAAATTTCCAGATTCTCTTTCCTTTTGTGTTAAATACGTCTATTTTGAATGCATTTTCATGTTGATCTACTCCCCAACTTCCTGGAAATTTGGTACAAGAGCTTACCTTTAACACAAAGACTGGTTTTAGTAACTAAAGAGAGAATATATAATTACTTCTTCTCTGAAGAAAGCCTAACCAAATTCCACATAAATTTGAGCTTGTAACTGGTTTTAGAATTGCTCACAAGAAATATGTAAACCATTGTTTTAATCCTGATTTTAATACTGATTTAGTAAACAAGCTACAGGTGCTTAATCAGATGTGATGTTTATTACAGCTTCACATAAAATGTGGCTCTTAACTTTGCAAGAAAACAGTCAATATTGACTTAGGGTAGAATACCTTTCATAATTAAATTTGGTCTTTGTTATTAGCCAGAGAACTTCCAAAGCATCTGCTTGCTTTTCAAAAATTGCTAGAGGAAATTAATATATGCCAATACATTCATACACTCTTTAAGGTTATCAGAAGCTGCTGGATGTCAGAGACCACTCATCAGGTTTCTGTTACTCCTGTTTCTGGCTTTGCCAGCCTTTTCACCCTCCCTTCCAGCTGGCAGTACTTGAGCATAAAGTAGCCATAATTAACCTTGTTCAAAAGTTACTAATGTGACAAAGGAAAGTGTAGAGAATGCAGGCAGAGGGAGAAAATTCAGGTCTACAGAATGTGGTCAGAAGCACAGGAATAGTGGTGACATGTTTTAGAAAAATTTAATATGTTACACACTGTGTTTTTTTTCAAATATGTAGTAGTTTCATAATGTTCTTTAGTTAATATAAGCCCGTATTTTCATTTGCAGTTGCAATCTTGCATTCCTCTTTGTCCTTGATTTAAAAAAAATGGGGTGAGGGGGAAGAGTAAGATGAGCAAGAATGTTATCAGAGAGAGAGAGAAAAAAAATATATGGAATTTAGCTGTTACTTGAAACATTAGTAACCAAAGAAAATAATTGTTTACTATCTTTATTTCTAGTAATTTTGTAGGGTTACATCAGTTTTCTCTCATTTGTCAAAGTGACTTGCTGGGAATATATTTAAGCTTGGTAGTTGTGGTTCAGTTTTAAATAAAAGGATTCCTTTCAAGATGGGACACATCTAGAGCAAATGCCAACTGAAGATGATCAGCTTTAGTATTTGAACTGGGAAGCATTGATCTTTCAGATAATGGAGATAGTGTTTTCATCTCAGCTTTTCAAATTTGTATATGACTTTTTAAGTAGCGAAGTGTAGTATGTTTAGACTGGAGAGGCATAGTGGTGGGGGTGTTTTGGAAGCTAAATTTGATAGAATAGGTATGCTTTTCTATACAGGAAAACTTCAAAAGAGTGATGGTGGTTTGGTGACTGGATAAAGCATATCATCAGAGAGGGATGATCATCTAGTAACTTCTGTGTACGTGGGTTTCCATGTATTCTTGGGCTTTAAATGTCTTGGGTCTCACCCTGCTTTCTTCTAGCTTTCTGTTACTGTGCTTTCTTTCTGGCTACTGGAAGAAATACATTGTGTTTAATCTTCCCTTAGGACTAACCACATTGCCTCTTCACTTTACCTGGCATAAAAAATAGATTATAATGATTATGTAGTTGTAAGCATTTGAATTAAGAAAGCTAAATATTGGGATATAAAGAGACTTTCAAAACTGGAATATATCTGGTTTTATGGGCTCTTCAGTGTATTGTTAAAGAAATTGTAGCTTCTTTTTGTTGCATAGATTTTAGTAGGGCTTAAAGATAGTAAGTATGAGCAGGTTAGTTTTCTGAAGCTTAAATAGGTACAGCTATGCCTACAGCTGTCCTGTTAAAGCTTAAGTATAAATACATGCAAACTAGAGAGGAACCAAAGACTGATTAAATGCAGTTTGAACAGTGGAATTCAACAAAGCACTGATATTCTAACATGGATGGAATGAGGCCTGGAGGAGGCCTGTAATGATGTAGCAGCAGGCATACTCTGAGTTTGAATGGTATATGGTCAGAGTAATGATACATGTATTGTTTATAATGTGTAGACTAAAACCACGCCAGTGTTTGCTATCGCCATAACAGCTATAAATTTACATCTTAGTTCTCTTTTTGTTCAGACTATTTATCTTCTCCAAAACTATAACAAAATAAACCCAAATAATCAAAATTTAAGATTGTGTCATGTTGCTTTTTCCTATTTCTCTAAGTGATACATTTTTTCAGTGTACACTCAGAAGTTGTGCTTCTGTGTAGCTTCTATGATAATAATTCAAGCTGTTTTTTCTCAGGTATAAAAGTCTTAAGTTCTTTCCATTTTAGTGGGAATTAAATGTTTATATTCAGGGCATCAGGTGTTTAAAGATCTGAACTAATCAGGCTTTTCTATTTTCATGTGACTAAAGCAAAATACTAGTATATAATACTGTATTACTTCTAGAAACATTTTAAGTACTTTGAATTAAAAGTAGAATGTAATGAACTAGGATTTTTTTTATCTTAAAATACTTCAGAGTGTAGTAAAATATAATGAGATATAATTTTAGAGTATCTTTTATTTTAAATTGCTGGCAAGGTAAAATATCTTGGGGGAACAAAACCCCTGGCAATATTAAATATTACTAAAAGTGTTATCATCCACAAGGATGATCAGGAGGCTGGAGCGCCTCCCGTATGAAGACAGGCTGAGAAAGTTGGGACTGTTCAGCCTGGAGAAGAGAAGGCTGCGTGGAGACCTCATAGCAGCCTTCCAGATAGCAGCCTTCCAGTATCTGAAGGGGGCCTATAAGGATGCTGGGGAAGGACTCTTCATTAGGGACTGTAGTGACAGGACAAGGGGTAACAGGTTAAAACTTAAACAGGGGAAGTTTAGATTGGATATAAGAAGGAAATTCTTTACTGTGAGGGTGGTGAGGCACTGGAGTGGGTTGCCTAAGGAAGCTGTGAATGCTCCATCCCTGGCAGTGTTCAAGGCCAGGTTGGACAGAGCCTTGGGTGAGATGGTTTATTGTGAGGTGTCCCTGCCCATGGCAGGGGGGTTGGAACTAGAAGATCTTAAGGTCCTTTCCAACCCTAACTATTCTATGATTCTGTGATTCCATGGTATGATACAAAGATTCAAGGCTCTCCTGAAAGAATGAGTTGAGATTATAAATGCTAATAAAAAGATCCCCTTGTGGTTTACTTTTTTTATTACATCTGTATCTATGTGCATCTAGCAATCCAGTAGGTTGTTTTCTTATTTTGTCTTTGAGCGAATTCTACAGACTAATAAAATACTGTGGACATGTGCTTTTAAGTATCTATATATGTTCTGGTTGCGCACCATTTACTGGTATTTATGTTCATACTCACTTTTCTATTATCCCTTTTAATGAAAGAGTTCATATGTGCCACATCATTCCAACTCTGCTGTTGTTATTTGTCTGTTTTGTTGGGGGGGGGGGGTGTCCCTTTTCTTTTGTTTTTCTTTTTATGCTTTGTGTAATTTGTTTCTTACAGTGGCCCCATGCCCCATCCATGGAAGTGTTCAAGGCCAGGTTGGACGGGGCTTTGAGCAGCCTGGTCTAGGGGTGGGTTTCCCTTCCCATGGCAGGAGAGTTGAAAATAGATGATTTTTAAGGTCCTTTCCAAGCCAAACCACAGTATGATTCAATGATTTTGAATTTTTCCTTTGTATAATGGTTTTATTTGTAATTGCTTATATATCTGTATGGGGGTAGCTGCATTCACAGTGAGAGGCTTTTGTTCAGTGTCTTTTTAAAAAGTTTAGCTTTTCAACTGTTATTTTCTTAACAAACTGTCTTTATTGAAAGTATGGAAAAATATACTTATTCCCAGATGGTAGCAAGTATCCATATGTGCTTCTATTTGACCGAGCCATAACAGGAAGTTTTGATATTATTCTCCCCCATCCCACCCCCAAACACTACTTGTTGCATTTAGTGGCTTAATTTCCCTGAGAGAGAAACCTTTTTAAGATGTATCATTTTTACTCGTTCAAACTGTGCTGGGTTTTGCCAACCATCTGTGAAGACAAGGGAATGGACTTGGCATGTGTTGCAGTCTTAGCTGAAAAATGTAATTTCCAATAGTTCCCCCCCCCCCATCTGCAGAATAAATGCTCTTATTAAAATTTAAGAAGCTAGTGACTCATCAAATTAAGCAACCAAGGAATATTTTCCCCTGGGTAGTAAATGGACTTTTTTCCTCTCTTGGTATCTGAAGTGTATCACTAGTACTATCCTAGAAGGAAGAAAAATAAAATGAATGCCAGAAACATTGATACAGAAATTTCTGAAGGCTGGAATTTCACAGATAATGAGCAAACAGTTAATGCAGCTGCTGATGCTCATCTCTGATGCTAAGCATGTTACAATTTTGGAATGTATATATTTATTTTTAATTGCATTGTATCTGAGTAAAGATGTTGAAAATCACAATTTGTTCACATTTTTCCACCCCCATAAACTGTTGTGTTTGTAGAGACTTAGTTTGATTGAACTCTAAGAAATAATTTGTGCTTCTGAAGGATGATTGGAATGCTAAACCCCAGCAACATCTCTCTGCATGTAGTTTCCCCTCTTACTCTATTTCCTAATAACAGTTGTGTGGACCTGGCTTCATACAGCCTATATTGCCTCGCATCAGTTTTACTGATCATTTTGGTGGAAGTTATAAATAAAGCTAGGCTTTTGTTGGTTCTGTCTCGATCATTTTATTCATTTGAATAGATATGTGTAATTTTTTCACTTGTTTGACAATAGCATGTTTTGGAAGACAAAGTTTAAGTTAGTTAAAATCAGCAATTGTTCCTTCTTAAGTATAATTTAATTTTTTTGCAACAAATTTGCTTTGTCATGTCTGTTACTAGTATCACAACTACTGTGGTCTCAAAGCCTATTACTTCTTCACCCTTTGAAGCTAGAGTTTTGTTACGTAAATGTAGACTATAATAGTTGATTATCTTTCCTGGAAGTACATTGATTTTAAAGCACAGGTTATCTTCCCAAATAACACCCTTCTGTGGATCTGTGACTTGTAGCTTCGTTTTAGATTTCAGGAAGATATTAAATAAATAAATAAATAGGCTCTAGTAAACAGGTATCACATCACAGAAATTGTGTTTCTTTTTTGAAAACTGACCGTAACTGAGGGCTGAAACAGTTTGCATGTACAAGAATATACACATAGAAATAAATTGCATTTATAGTTCCAGCTGTATTCTGTGTTCATGAATGGCTCAGAAGTCAAACTGCATTGGTTGAATTTAAATATGTTTTAAGCAGATCATCATAATTTGCCTGATTGCCTGTCTTACTTTTCCAGTGCATTTCAATTCTGTCTTAAACCATATGGATATTCATAGTGCTGCACAGCACAGAAATGAAAAGCAGAAGCAACATTACGTAACTGGGAATTTTAAATATGCATCACAATACATTTAAGTAACTGCATAACATTGTATTTCTACCTGTGGTGCTTCTTTTCCCCTCTTCTTTTCTTGTCCTGGTGTTCATTGCTGTTGGTGCTTGTATCTTGTTTTAGGTTGTAAGTCTCAGGCAGAATGAATGTCTTGTAGTCTGTTTCATGTTGCTGTGAGTATGTTTCCAGGAGTTCTAAATGTAAGTTACCATTCCAGTGGTGATTTTAAGTTTAGAACGGGCAGGAGGATCTCTTGAAGCAAACTGCTTGAAGAATTGCTGTTTTCCACAATTTCATTTTGTATATGTTGAGCAGATAGAATTATTTTTAGCTATTTAATTTTGATATGCTCCTGTAGCAACTGTTTGGGTGCTTGGATTGTCAATACTGCTTGAGCATTGGTGAATTGGAGAGGGTAGAAGGAGGGATATCCAATAACAGAAAATAACAGACATTTGTATATTATACTATAAAACACCTTTCTCTTGCTCTCAGACTGCGTGATTATTGGAATTTCATCAGGATAATAATTTTGTTTAAGACATCTTTTTTTTTCTTCTTTTTCCATTTTTTCTATTTTATTTTTTATTTAATGCTTGAAAAGGCCTGATAGTTTGCACTGAAATTCTAATAATTTTATGTTTTTTTATAGTCTCTTAGCAACTTCATCTGTACATGATAAAGCTTTTGCTCATCAACTGTCTTGAGTTAAAATGCAAAACATAATAGAATACTGCTATGACTCATTTTAATGCAAACAACAGTCTGTAATAGATTTTACCTTGTTGACCAAGCTAGTGTCTGCTGTGTTGCAAGAATAAATATTCTTTAGCATTAAAGTGCTCAGTTCTTTGTTGAATATTTATTTAGTGTTGTTTCTTCTATATAAAAAATTAAATAGATGTAACAGGCAAACAGGCATGAAACCATTTTATAAGGAGTCACAATAAAAATGTTAACCATTTCTATTGCCATTTGCAATGAGAGATGAAATAATGTATCTCTTCAAGATTACTCTTCTCATGCTGGTTTGAATATTGCATAACTTTTGCAGTGGAGCGGGGGTTGTTTTGTGCATGCATGTGTGTGTTCATGCTACGCATGGTTCTTTCAAGGCTGAGAAGTAAAAATTTCTTCCACAACCCCGAGGAAGTCTGCATCCCTCAACCATGAGATTTGATTGCTCCTCTTTAGTGTGTATGATTTAAAATACTGTCTCAAAGTGTGGTCAAATCCTGCTTCAATTTTTAAATCATGCTTGAGAATGTATCTTTACAGTCCGATGTGACTGAGATGCACTTGTAATTTGTTTAAATGCATCTAATGCTAGCAGTTCACCCCACTGTTCTCCTGCTATTTGAAATACAATGCACAGATCAAATTATTAATAATTTGAAAATATTCATAATAGGACAATCTAGAACCGAGTATAGCAGAATCCTGTTTTTTTTTCAGCATTCTTGGATCATTTAGTCATTTATGTGTAAACATTAGAGGAAAAAGGAGGGATAAGGACATCAGCATCTAAAATATTAATAGTCCACTTATTTAATTTTGGTGTTTTTAAAATATATTCAAAAACTCATCCCAAGGACATTCTCCAGTAAAGTATTTGTAAAGTAAAAGACTATAGTTTGAGGCACGTCCATATGGCTGTTTTGATTAAAGCCCCACTTTGCCATGCACATTAGAAATACAAAACAGAATGTTCCTGGCCTGAAGATATTGTATTAAAAAAGAAAAATTGCATATATTTTGATGTTTCAATGTGCATTTTAGCCATCTGCACAAGATTTGACAGAGTTCATTGCTGTGCTATTCAGCATCCAGGGATTGTTAAATACATGCAGGAGGTAATAGTGCTACCTTTTTTGACCATTTCAAAATTCTTGTAAACATCTATTTACTCGTAGAGCTAGCTACTTATTTCCATTGAATACTCTTTCATCTTGTTGGGTGTTAAAACTAATTAAAGGAGTTTTCTTGATACCTATTATGAAGACTACTGAAAAAATACTGTGACGTTTGTAACTTTCTTTATTCTGGATTTCCTCTTATTTAGCTGTATTCTTTAGTTCCAGGAGCATCTTGACGATGCTTTTAGTTATATGGTTTAGTTTTAGGCAGTCCTGCAAGAAGCAGGGAATTGAACTTGGATGATCCTTATGGGTCCTTTCCAACTTAAGATATTCTGTGATTCTATGACTGAGGTTTCTAATTGGTTATAGTTCTGTTGTATTGACTGTAAAAGATGTTAATCTTCCTGCTTTTCTTGCCTTCTCCTCAAAAAGCCCCAAATCAACAACAACAAAAATAAGGGGTGGGGGTGGAGGGGGTGGGAAAGAAACGGGTATTAATCTGAAATGACCATGTATACAAAATGAAGAAACTTTTACTATCAGATTATGAATGCGAGAGTGAAACTGCAATAACATCATCTAAAACACTAGGTCTGGAATAAAATTTCTGTAGTTAGTATTTTCACATACCTCAGTGCTGGTATAGGTTGTATGAAAAATGTAGTCACTTCAGTAATTTCATAGAAGATCTCAAGTGTGGCTTTCTGTGTTTTCTGGAACAATGACAAAATCTAAAAAATCGAAATTGAGTGCAACAATGATTGCATGTAACTTTAGGTTGTACCACATTAGAAAATCGGTAAAATTAAATGATGCCAATAATCTGATTTCGTGGTTAGCCTTATTCTGTAGTTCAATATATGTATGCTTGCTGTCCAGATACACTCTGTAATTGTTCAGGGACCATTTCCAGAAATCAGTGCTTTCTGGTGATGGAACAGTGTGAATAATTTCTCACAATCTTTTCTCAGACACATTCATGCCAAAGTGCTTTGTCTCTTTGTTTTCAGAGTTGCAATAGTTTCCAAGTCTTTTGAAGGAAAAACTGATCGAACAGAAGACTGGTATGGAACACAGTACAAGCAAGAAGCAATTTCTGATGAAGTTATTAAGGCATGTTAAAACTTACAATATATCCTAATCTCTGCAAGCAAAAGACAGTGGTAAATTCTCTGTCAGATTTTCCATTTAATTGAAGGAAGAACTTAAATTTGCTGCTGCACATAGCATTAAAATTGTACAATGAGACTGTTGAATATTATGAGAAGATTTTATTTTAGTCTTCAGATTTCAAATATTTATTACACCAGACAGATACATTTTAATGGTTAAGTGAAGGGAATGTTATGCCATTTTTACTGCAACAGATCCAAAATATGCAATGTCTCCTTAAAAATGTAAGCATTAACTTCTCAAAGTTGAAGTCTTTATTAAATGGTAATGAACTAATCTGTTCTTAAGAAAGGAATCTTTTTACAAGTGCTATATGTAACTGTTTCTGAAACTGGTATTTGCAATTTAGAAAATGAGTATATTTTACCAATTACATGAGCTTCTAAAAATCAAAACTACAGCAAAGGAGATAGACAAATACTTATCGAAATTTGTTATTGATCTATTCTTCTAAGAAGAGATGGCTTAGAGTTAAACTGGACCTGCTGAGCATGCTTTGAAAGACATTGCACAGGAACACTTCATTTCCTTTAGTTTATCCTTACCTGTGTTCCTGAGTAGAATTCTTGCTTATGTATTTAGTTTAATACCTTCCTATAGAGTTCACAGTAGCAGAAAAGGTAAGACATTGAGCTTCCACTCTACTGTAAACTTTTCAAAATTAGTTTTTATCTTTTTGTCTTCCTCCTTGGAGCACTTCATGCTGCTCATAGCCTACTCCAACTTGTTTTGCCAGATACTTCTCTCTTTCCCTATTATCTTCATTTCCCTATTATCTTAATGGTATTTTACACATAAGCTAGTGGAACACATTTTTAAAACTTTTGTTACAGTATAAGAGAAATAAGTCTATAACCATTGATTAAGCAGACATTCTCCTTAGCCTCCTTATTTCTCCTGTTTGTGTAGAAATGGCAAAATGCTGACCTGAATGGGAAATTCAAGCTTCCAATGAAGAACGAATTCATTCCTACTAACTTTGAGATTTTGCCATTGGAAAAAGATGCGACACAGTACCCTGCCCTTGTAAAGGTAAGCCATTTCCGTGTGCTAGCTAAACTTCTGGGAAGTTCATAGTTAATTCCTGTGTGTTATTTTAAATACAGATCTGTCATATTCTAAAGTATAATAACAAAAGTGTACAAAATTTAAAGATATTGCTAGAAAGACAGTAGAAAGTTCATTCTTGCTGAACTCTGGATTATGACTGGGTTCCCACAAAAAAGAATCTACAAACAGCTTGAACTCTTTTTTCCCTTTTGAAAGTGTGTTAAGAGTTGATAGAAATAGTATTAAAGCTGTTTACTCAGCAGAAGGGTGACTGCTACTCATATTTTTTTGAGCTGTGTTCAGTAAATCAAGGGTGTAGACAAGGCTATTCTTTTGTAACTGTGTATGGGTAAAGCTTGTGATTGCATGGAAAAAAGGAGAGAGATAAAAGCATGTAAATAAACATCATTCTCCAGTCTTCTGGCAGCACCATTTAATGATCTCAGTGCATTTAGCAAATCTCAGTTTTCCAAGTACCTAAAATTTACTAAAAAGTATTGTTCACTGCTAAAGCATCGTTATCTTTGGTAATGCTCATCTCTGTTCTAGGCCTAGTGGAAGACAAATAGGAAGAGTCTTCTGCACTTACATTGAATACTCAATTCAGGAATACTTTTTGCACACTAGATTAATATGTCTACTTCAGTGCAAAGACATCCATCAGAAAAACATACTTGTTTGCACAGGGCATTTTAGATACGTACTTCAAGCAGTATTATTAACATAGGAGGACTTTGAGCAGGTTTATATTCATCCTGAACTGAAATTGTAAACCTCAGCAGGGACACATATTACAGCTCTAGTAAGTAACACTAATTGGTTTACTACAGAAACTTGATGGTCTTTCAGTGTCTGTAGCAACTAGGCAATTGATCCACACAAAAGCTATGCTTTAATGCATCACTGATTTAGAAATGTATTTGGTTTTAGTTTTGCCTTTCCCCCTAAAATATGTTTTCTGAGGGAAAATATTTTTAATCTTTTGTACTTGATGAAATAGACATTACCTGTTTTGCCTGTATCTCATTTATTTTCTCTCCATCTGTATGCCTGTGCCATTTTTCTTTTTGTGGGCCCCGGCATTTGTCCACAGCAAAACATTGCAAGAACTAAGTTAACAAAGATTACCTATACAAAAAAAACCAAACCAAAACAATTTTTTCTGCATTTTATATGTCTGCATGAGCTTACTGTGGACTGGACCAGTGTTGTGGAGAAAGGGACAAACCAGAACATAAGTACACGAACAGAATGGCCATTTTCACTGGCAGCATGTTACTGTGTCACCTCTGTTGTAATGGCACATCTTCCTCTGAAAAACCCTTGGGAAAGAGGGCAATGAAGATACAGGCTTTGGCTTGAGGGCCAGTATGCTATGGACTGCAGCTAGCAGTCTCCAGCTACCGGGCTGGGTCTCCAGTACTACACACAGCCTCTACTGTTTATCACACTGTCCCTGGTGTAAGGTGTATTCTAAACTGCATAGTAGCAATTTAACAGAAGAAAAATTTTGTTGTCTTGGAGAGAAGCTGTAAAAAGGCTTTTTAGTATGAGTCAAATGTTGTGTAAAGGAAGGTGTGCTGTAAGAGAAAGAATTATTTCTTTTATGTAAAGAGGAGGAAGAGAATACCATGCGCCACACCAGATCCCTGAAAAGCAAAGAACCTCTGCTCAAAAACATGAGAAAGAGATATAATTTTACAGCTAAAAGTTCTCTCTTCTGATCTATAGCAATTCAAAGAAAAGATGTTGGGATAAAGTTAACTAGAGTTGGAACAGAGAAAGAGTATCTATTTCACAGTTTTCATAGGAGAAAAAGCAATATGGGAGGTTGTTTGGAATCCTTCTCATACTAGGAGATTATTCTAGAAAAATTTGGTGACAGTTCTTTGAACTCATTTTCAACTGGTTTTAATACTTTTTCTAAATGTGTCATGTTTGCAATGTTACTTTAAAACAACGTACAGTGCATTAATATTTTTTACTAAAAGCATTACATGTGCAATTATATTCTTAGTCTGAAAATGTAACTATATGCTGATGTAGTGCTGCATAATGGCACATCTTTTAATGTTAGCTTTAGCGGGGTGTTTTGTGCAGCTAACTATTATTTGTCTTTGATCACTCCTGCTCTAGAAAAGTAGTTCCCATTTTGATCATAAGCTCATTCACAGTGCTGCAGCTATTTAATTGCTTGTTAAAGGTGATCTATGGTGAGAAGAGAGTCTCCATAAGGATAGACAGGTATGCACACAGTCACAAGGTTGTGGATGTAAGGAGACAATACTAAACTGAGTTTTGAAGCGGTGGAGACTTTTTAAATGGCATTAACATATTACAGTTAAAAGGTGACTTAACAAAACCTCTTTTCTTGACACAGGACACTGCTATGAGCAAACTGTGGTTCAAGCAAGATGACAAATTTTTTTTGCCAAAAGCTTGTCTCAACTTTGAATTTTTCAGGTATGCAGTGTTAAGTATATTGCAGAAATTGCTCTCCAGAAATTTCTTGTTTGTTGGAATGTGCACTTCTATGGCAAAAACTTTCTTGTGTGTTTTGAGGCTTTAAAACCTTTGTCCTGGGAATCTGCAGTAAGGTACAGATAGCAGGAAGACTCATGTAAGTTATGCAGTAGTTGAGTGGCAAGCAGTTTGAAGTGCTCCATCTACGTTAACAGGAAAAAATAATCTAAAAATGTTTTGAAAACAGGTTTCTTCTATGTTTTATTTGCTGTACTTAAGATATGCCTGCCAATAATACCTACTGTATATTGCAAAACACCTCTTTAAAAGTGGGTATTATTTTAAATTAATAATTAAATTGCGACCATTTTTAGATAGTGTTTTCTTTATAAAATGGTATTCTGATAATAATATTAGGTTAAAGTTCTGTTTTAATTTGCATAATGCAAGCCAGTATAAAATCCTAAGTGCTTAAAATTGTGGGGTTTTATTTAACTGACACCAACAACTGATTATTTTTATTTTACAAGAACATTGTCTGTATAATCAATGCATGTGCAATTCTCACCTCAGGATGCATGATAAAGTGCTGTAATGTTAATTCTGGTCTTGCATTATTTTAATCACAGGAAAATTATCTGTTTTTTTTTAAGTGAGCATGACAATGATGTAACTTCATAATGTACATTGAGTCCTTCTTTTGAGTGACAACTTGAAATTTTTCCTGGAAGAATTTTGGATGGAGGTTTTTTTAATAGTGTTGGATCTTGGTATTGATGTTGGTACTAGCTGGGGAAAATAGGTTGCCTGGGCATTTCTTCTTTTTGCTTTTTAAAACCACAGGGCAAACATTACAATTGTTACAGCTTTGACATGTCAGGAAGTAGAAGATTGAAATCTCTTATTCAGAAACAACAACTGCAATATTTTGTATGCATCTGGTGGCTTTCCCTTGTACTATGTTTGGCCAAAATAGGATTTTATTGATGGATACTGAGTTTGTCATACAGTTACGTGTTTTGCTTTGGTTTTTTAATCAATTCCAGATTAACTGTGTGTGATACAATCTCGATACCAGTTTGTGAATGATTAAAAGATAATAATTGATTTTATATAGAACTCACGAAAGTATAATAACTCTGTGCACATATGGATGATGTCATGGAATGGGTTGGAAGGGACTATTAAATGTCATGTAGTTCAACCCTCCTGCAGTGAGCAGGGACATCTTGAACTAGTTATGTGGTGATAATCTTTCCCAGTTAAATCTGTACATTCATCTCAGTGAGCCCTTTTAAAAAGCCAGAAGTACTTGAGCTTTGCCAGCTAATCTGATGGAATGATTTGCCTGTTTCCTCCTAGGGATAGTTGCAGGGGGAATGCTGGCTTTTTTTCTTGGGATTGGGTGTGAGGGTTCTTCCCTTTTATTTTAAAAGACGACAGTTAATTGTATATGAACAGATGTGAAGAGACGTTGACAATATTGGGTACCTCATCTCCAAAAGAAGTTGTAAGCAGGTTTGTCTAGTTTTGATATTTAAAAAAAATTCTTATTGAATCTCTCTCTCTTTCAAGATGGGTCATGCTGATGTTTATTGGAGGAAATAGTGAAATGTTCAGTGTTTAGTCAAGAGACTTGATGAAATTACCCATAACTCTTGTGGCTGAGTGAATAAGTTAAAAAAGCCCTCTTAATAACATGAGTTTTCATAAAAAGTTTTAGCCTCAATTCTAGATCGGAATGTGATGACTGTGCTGCTTTGATTACAAGAATTTGTTCACATTACAGACCACTTTCAAAGACAGAAAAAAACAGGAGGATTTCTTCTGCCTGTAGCCCTGATCATCACAAATCATTAGAAGAATTCCTAACCCAGAAGTTATAGCAGCAACTACTGTGTTGATAAATTAAGAGGAAGTTGATAAGGGTGGTTTCTCCCTCAAACATACAAATCCAGTAGGAACAATCTGGGTCTGCGAACCTTCTGGAGTCCCCTTGTTCCAAACCTGAAAATTCTTACATGGCACATGTATTAAAGAAACCCCACAGTAAAAACCTCTGACACAGGATTTATCATGCAGCCTAAAGGATGATGATTAAGCTTTTGCTTTTGTATGAATTATGACTTCAGAACTCAACACATACTATTTTTTAAAAGGAAGCAAAACAACATGATGTGTTTTTTTTGAAAATCATCTAAAGGTGGTTATAAACGCTGAACTTGAAGTTTCCCAAGGTTTAGTGAGATGGGTGTTAAGGATAAAATGCTAATTATTTTTAACTGGATACTTGTTACCCTCCAGTCTAAGAAATATTTCAACCAACTTGAGTTACGAGTTGTTCATAAGGTAACCCAGGATCAAGACTTCAGTGTTGATTTCAACTATGTCACTTCTAGCTCTGTTTGAAAGGGGAAGAAGCTAGACTTCTAAGATTTTTTTCAAATACACTGTCAGTGATCAAGTTGTTTTGCTTCTTCAAATCTAGTGAAAAAAAAGGAAGACTAGAAACAAGCGTTTATTTACAAAGCTGCCAGTAATAGAATGCAGCTCCCAGAACAGTGTTATCATAATTGTTTTCTGTTATTTTTTACTTGAGGATTAATGGTGTAGTAGTCTTCAAAACTCCCTGTTGGCATTTGCCAGATAATGAGTATAGAGAACTTATAACCAATACAAATACAGTAATCATTCAAACTGATTAAGTCTCTGTTCTAGTATCAAAGTGGAAAAGAATATAATGAGTTTGGAGGAAGGTTTATGATAACATAGGATTGACCTACATCTTGCTTTGAATTCAGTCTTAATTAAAAAATTCAGTATTAATTGGATTTGCATCACTGGGCATATTGAAGTCGCTCAGTTTTGGGAAATTCTCATTGTAGAGAGAAATGCAAATAGAACAGTCCGACCCCAGCCTAATTATCCCAGTGATAATAAAAAAGCATATCCTTGGCTAAGATTTCAGACTATAGCAGGCTCTACTTGTCTAATAGATTTTATTTTTTTTTTAATCTCTTCCCATGCTTCCTTTCCTATCTAGAAGGAAGGAGAAGTCAAGGCCTAGGAACCTTCTTAAAAATACCTTTTTTAATGTTACCAGTGTGTGTGTTGTGGCAATGTGATCTTTGTTCTACTACATTAATGTTGGTATACACTATGAAGTACCATCCTGTGTAGGCATAAACATATATATTGACGTGTCTCTGAATATGACCATTGCTGCTGCTTAGGGAAAATAAATGAAAATGGTGTGGGTTTGAATTGTAAGCCGTATCGTGACAGGAAATTGTTTTAGATGCTGCTGATTATTTCTGTAAAATTGATACTGACTTCACATCATTTCAGGAACTTCAGGGAATAAATCCTCAGTCATAGGACAGATAACTTGTCTTGACTTTGCAAATCTTAAAAACACACAGATACTTAACAATTAGTGCAGTTGAAACACAGTTTGAGTCTGAATTGCATTCCTCTTTGAGAAATTTGTGACCTTGTTGTATGTGATCAGATGCTTCTAATGCAAACCTAGAGCTTGGATAGTCGTTTGCATTGAAAAGATAACACAAAAATTACGGTGATATGGTAATGGATAGGCCAGACGTCTTTCCTGTGCTGAACTTAGCATCTGCTGCTTATTTTTCAAATTACAAATTGCTAATCTTTTAATTTTTAGAATAGACACTACATTGTTTTCTGATTAAATTAGTAAAAAGAAGTATTAATTAAATTAATGGTCAGCATGTGGGCTTTCATTTCAGTCTATTAAATTATATTGGTTATTCAGGTTGTGTTTAGTTTATATTATTCCTGGTGAATTCTGACTATTCAGCAAAGTAAATATAAGGTGTCTTGATTTAGAAGGACAAATTAAGAGAATATCTCTGGAATCTTCACTATATTTAGGCCTTGCTTAAACCATAAGCAAGCTAAATAATTATTTTCAGGTATGTTCATTCTTGGCTTCAAAATAGGAATCCTTCATAATGGGATCCATCACCATACTCACAGAGAATACTGCTTCCTTCAGGTCAAACTTAAAAGGCCAAAAGAAACTGAAAAATCATTTTAAACTGCATATTTTACTTTCAACATTTTCTTCCAGCCCATTTGCTTACGTGGATCCCTTGCATTGTAACATGGCCTATTTGTACCTTGAGCTACTCAAAGACTCCCTCAACGAGTATGCATATGCAGCAGAACTAGCTGGCTTGAACTATGATCTCCAAAATACCATCTATGGGATGTATGTAAGTACCCAAATCAAGGAAGAGCTTAGAGCCTTAAAACTACTTCCACTCATCAACATTTTTATATTGATTTGATGGAAGGACTTTCATTTAAAAAATGGATCTAAGGCTGTTACTCATTTTGATCTTGATTATTAACCATCCTTTCTTTAATTTGAATTTTAAGTTGAATTTTGTTCAGAGTCTTCCAACAGTCTTTCCATTCATATTAAACAATTTTTTTTTATTTTTATATCATTCATGAAATTAATTAGTTGTAAAATTTGTTCCTCCATTAAAAAAAAAAACAAGAGAAAGAAAAAAGCAACCTTAATCCAAGCTTACATATTTATTTCAGTTTGTCAGATAGCTACTAAAAAGTTTCTGACTGATGGGGTAGAAGATCCCCTTTTCATGCTATTAAATCAATGGTATGCTTCAACTTCCCTTTTCAAGAACTACTGATCATGAGGCTGCATATACATACTCTTCAGTCATATTTCTTCATCCATTACTTTGTCACTGCTTGAGGTATCAAAGCATTTCTTTTGTTTTTCTTTTTGTTAGTCGCTACATTTATGCTGATCCTCTCCATTGCAACATGACATACCTGTTTATCAGGTTATTGAAGGATGATTTAAAAGAGTATACATATGCAGCACGCCTCTCAGGTTTGATCTATGGCATTGCATCAGGAATGAATGCAATACTTGTAAGTAAGAAAAAAATGCAGGAGGAAATGAAACAGCTTGGGAGTTGTTGAGCTTGGAGAAAACATTTGACTTCTGCATTTCCAAATGAGATAGTTAATGCTTTTTTTTCCCCTTGCATATCTCATGAATTAAAGGCAAAGCAAAACTGTATTTTAATCAGTAGTGAGTGACCTGTTTAGATTGCAGTGTCTTGTAAGCATTGTGTGCAGTGCAGTTGTTGCATTCTGGTTCACATTTTTACTTACTTGCATGGTAATCTTGAGAGTATTGTTGCTGATTTTTCTATGTAATTAACCTTTGTTGAATGAATCTCAACTTTAGAGATTTCGTTATAATTTCCTAATTCTGGTGTAGTGAGTTATGGAAATGGATTGTGCATGTGTTTATTAGAATGCAGTGCTGGATATTTATGGCTTTTCTGTAGTGATATGTTTTATAATTTGTTTTAAAGAGCTGGCAGTACTTGCTTGATAACAATTTATCATAAATATTTCTTACTCAGCTTCCTATGAGATTCATGGTAGATTTTAATAGTCTCTCTTGAAGTTCTGTTAAAAGCTTATATTAACCATCATTTTGTACCGAAATGTGTTTTGAAATTTCTTGTAGAACCGTTACTTTCCAAAGTATCTTAGTAAGAGAACATAATGCATATTGTCTATGTTTTCTATATGAGAGTGAGTGCTGCAGTTTCTGGGTTTTTCTAATCCAGTGCAAATCTCATTTTCTGGTAGCATTCACTTAACTTACTGCAAACATAGTTATCTATTCTTAGTTTCAAAGCTTGCTGGTGTTTCCATGGTCAGAGTTAATTCCTTTTAAAAAAAAAGGAGGGGGGGGAGTGTGTGGGTAGTTTTCTTAATTTTTAGTCAGAGTCTATAAAGTTATTTCAAATATAAGGTTTTTATAGGGTCTTTATATTCTTCCACAGTAAATTTTCACGCATTAAAATCAGTTTACTCTGTTTTGATGTCTGAGAACTCCTAATATTCTTTTCTATATTGTGAGAAGTTTTATAGCTAATAGGTGTAACTATACAATGTCGATACTTAAAGGAAGGACAGATGTCACACTGGAAACAATCACCCGTGATGTTTTTTGAACAGTTTGGGTTCTTATGCTGATTTAGGATATCAGCCTTTGTTATAAATCCATTTATGATGGCTTTTGTTTCTTTCAAATTTGTGGTTCAGGTATGTTTCAGCAGCCATAGAAGAAAAAGATTCTTTCCACTGGAAAGCAGGAATTCCCCTGAATGTTGGTTTGTGTCCTAAAATTTAGTTTTACCCTTAATAATTAAACTGCAGAAGTCCAATTTAATTCCTTTTTCCAGAGATATTGACCTGATCATACACATTTTCTTTTGAAAGTGTACACGAAATCAGTCATTAAAAAAAAAAAAACAAAACACTAAAGCACAACATAGAAACTTAAAAATTACTGTATGATTACATCAAGCTACGGAAACTTCATCTAGTGAAAAAAGTCATTAGAAGATATTTCAGCCCACCACCATCCTGGTTATGAATTGTCTCGCTGTTGACAGTACCCCTTTTTTGCAATACTGCTTACTTTCACTTACAGAAAATTTTTTTTTGAGCAACAAGATAAACATAAACCAAGGTAAAAAGTAAATTGGAGAGAATATTTAAGAAGGCTGTTAATCTAGATTTCATTACCAAGAGAAGAACCCTAGTGTAAAACCATTTCAGTATTTCAAATGTACAGTTTACTGACTAGATTTAATACTTGTAGTCATTCAAAGTCTGTATTCTGAGTACAGTTTGCTTACATCAGTGTGAAATTACATTAATTCTTTGCTTTCATAACCCCTGGGAAAGTATGCAGTATTCTGTTGTGAGTTATTTTTTGATGGGTAAACGGATTTTATTTTCAGTATGAATTAATGTTGAATAGTGGTGAATTCAGACTAAGTGTTGAAGAGTGTATTGTTCCTTGAATTATACAAGGCTTGGTAATTTTTTTATTTTTCTATCTTCCACATTTAAAGTAAATTATGCACTTTTTCCATAGCTTTCTGTAAAAGGTTATAATGACAAGCAACATATCTTGCTCAAGAAGATCATTGAGAAAATGGCTACTTTTGAGATCGATGAAAAACGATTTGAGATTATCAAGGAAGCGGTAAGCTACGTGAGAAACTTGCATTTTGGAGTAATTTAAAATTGAGTGCATTGTCTTGAAATGAAATCTGATTATCTATAGGAACAGAGAGTGAAATTGTTCCTCAGTGGGACAGCAGAATTTTCTTTATTTCGTCTTTTTTTGTGGCCCCGAGTTCCCTGGAGTGTTTATATTATATTCTTTGGTTAAATATAAATGGCCCTGGAATGTTCTGTAAGTCAGTCTTTCTAAGGATTGATCAAGGGATTGCAGCTTGCTTTGATAGTTGTAGGAATCTAAAAAGGGGGACAGGAGTGGAAGTCTTAACTTTATATCCTGTTTTACATTTTGGAAAGGCCTCAGTGGGATCTAGCAATAGAAGGGTGAAATGGATGAAAGGGGAAAGGAAATGTTGAGAAGATTTGCAACATTTCTTCTTCACAGATAGGAAGAGGAGCTTTGCTCCTGGGCCAAAATCTTTCTGTGCAGAAGTAACCCCAGCTGGCTAAATACATGCTGACTTCTTAAGCCTCACTTCCTAAATTTAATGACTGATCTAAATATATGGAATGTACATTAGATTAATTGGATTTATTTATTTTTTTTCTCCTGAAGTAAATTATGAACAATTATTAAGCCAAACAAAATACATAATTGTTCTGGTCCTTTATTGAGAGCACAACAGAGGCTGGACAAAGGAAATTAAGAAATTGGATATTGGCACTCATAGCAATGAGTTTTTTGGGGGGGTATAAGTGAGGGCACAAGGGTTAGACTGATGTTAGGGAACAGGCTGACTTTTGTCCCAGAAAGCTTGCAAATAGTCTGCAGTAGATGAGAGAGTGAGGGCTACAGGGAATATCACTCCACGCTTTCTATAACCTTACTTAATCCTCTGCTGCTGGTGACTTTTGAACAGGTGACTGGTCTAGACAGATGCTAGGGCCATCTTTAGTTCGCTAGTATTCAGTAGGAAAATCTGAGCAGGTGGACATCAAACACAAGGTAGATTTATTGTGACAGAACTTTATTTAGGGCTCTGTGTACCTGACATACACTAATTGTTTGGAAAGTTTTATCTGGGTGTGACAAACGTCAAGGTAAAAAACCCCAACCCACAGGTCTCTGAATGACTCATTTTGGATTATTCTCTTTTAGTTTAAGATGTTTCCCTGTTGTCTTTATGGTTTGCAAGAACTTAGTATTACGCATGTTTTGTAATTTTACAGACTTCTGTTGCATAGGCCTTTTGTGTACGTAAAATACTGGCAAAATACAAAAAAGTCAAATAGGATGGGGAGACTGCAGTTTCTCCCCTCATGTCTATACCTAACTGATAAGGGAGATACCAGCTTCTGTTTGGAACAGATAAAAGATTGCATATTGTGAGAAAAAGCATGCTTGCTGTTTCTCACTCACGTGCCCTGAAATAAGTTACTCTTCTCCTGTACTGGAAGTGATTCCAACTTGACAAAACTATTAGTTTGTACTTTCCAGTTCCTCTGGTAGAGGAAAAAGATTTTGCTTATTTTGTAAAGGTGCAGCTGGACTACAAAGGAATTTCTTTGGAGAAACTCACTGATTCTTCTCTTGTACTTGCTTTATCCAGGCAAAGAATGCAGAGAATTTCCCAGGTTCTCGTGTATTTTTCTAACCGAGTTAGCACAGTGAAGCAACTAGGAGAAAAACACATTTTCTGTTAGCGATATTTCCCCATCCCTGGACAGTTGTCACAGAATGCGTATTTCCTGGGTAGAGCAACTTGATCTAGAGATTTATTTAGGTCATTAATTCCAGTCGTTAATTTTATTGAGAAGTTTGATTTCATGCTCATTCAACTATCTTAATGGTTACTTCTTAATCTGTAGGCTTAAGAGGCCCACATTATTACTAAGGTAATTAAACAATTTTTTAACAGGTCTAACAAGCAAGAGAATGTTCTTAACATTTGAAATATATTGGTTCAATGGTACATTAATCTGTTGAGTACAAGGTTAATATTTTATGTTTAGAAATGGAGTTCTATAACTGGAACTTCATTATTTTGTTTTAGTACATGAGATCACTGAACAACTTCAGAGCTGAGCAGCCTCACCAGCATGCAATGTATTATCTCCGACTCCTGATGACAGAAGTTGCTTGGACCAAAGATGAATTAAAAGAAGCTCTAGATGGTAATGTTCTGCCAGTTTTAAACTTTTTCTTTTTTTTTTTTTGTTTTGTTTTGGTTTGGTTTTTTTTTCACTTTTTTCCTTATGGAAAATATCTCTTTACTAAACCACTGAAGGTACCTATTTTCAACTTTGCCCGTTATTCAAATGAAGTCCCTGCAGTGTCAGACCTGAGCTGATGCAGGTGGATGTCCATTCCTTTGCATTTTTCTTCCAGTTTCTATGTAGTAGTAGTTCAGGTAAAGGCCTTAAGTGGCTAAACTTGCAGGTAAAACTTGAAGCAAATCTTGCATGGCTTTATGGCTATGAGCCTGGGTATGGCAAATCCAGTGCTGAACCAATGCTGCTAAAATAATTTTCTGGGTATGATGAATCCAGTGCTTAACCAACACCGCTAAAATCATTTGGCTTTAGTTGACATCTTGCAGAGCATTGAATATTCCTGCATTGTACTTCCCAATGTGCACACTATTTTGTTTTTTCCATTATCAGGGAATCTTAACTCCTGTTTCTGTAGGTAATATATTTTATATACATTTTGTAGGCAATAACAATAGTTTTACAGTTCCAGAACATTGTGGCTCTTAACAAAGAGCAAGTGCCTTGCAGGAAGAAGAAATTTCAAATTAAGAGATTGTAATTTATTTTAGTATTATCTGAAGATTTCTTCCCTACCTCTGTCTGACTGTGTTATAACAAAAGGTAGTTACTGGGACAGTTTGCAAAATATCTTGTAATATCTTCTTAGAATACACTGAGACATTATTTTCAAGAAGAACACCTGTTTTTTGTATATATTTGAGGGGGTGGATTCAGAATGAATTGTTTGAAGTTGGAATGTTGAAAACTGCTTCATTAAGACGCACTCTACAGATGCCCTGACCCAGCTGCACAAGGGTGTGTGTTTTTTCTGCAGGATTGTTCCAGAGTAGAATTATAAATGCTTAGTTGTGTAGCTTCGTGAATTATTGCAGGTATCTCTGAGATTAGCAGTGGTGCTAATGCTGCCTGTGAAGTCAATGACAAAATTAACACTGATGTTCATGTCAGTGGGTTCAGCTTTATGTAGGTCATTGCTTTTTGAATGACTCCTGATTTTTGGTTCCATGTGTAAGTTGTATTTTATAAGGTTAATACTACTGTATTCAGCATAAGAATGGCTGAAAATTGAATGCTCTCGAGGAATGCTGTCTACTTAGCACTGCTGGAAATCTGCTTGAAATTCAGGGAGTTTATGCATGATTTTAATTTTTTTGTTTTCCTCTCTCACACTCAGTGTGACCATAATCTTTTGCACTATTAAAAAGCAGTTCCAGAGGTAAAAATTAAATTAGGATTATACAACAATGAAAAGTTGATTTGGAATCAGAGAAAAATGTGGAAATTAACTTTTTTACTGGTGGTCAGTTACCCCTCATAAGAGAGGGAAAGACTGATAAGCATGGTATTGGTTTTTCTAATACAGCTAACAAATCTTTTAGATATGTGTGTCCCCCACTGAATAACTGAGAGACCTCAAAATCTTAATTGCATTTGTCTTTTCAAAACTTCTGTGAAATACATGAGTATTTTTAGGTTTTATTTTAGTTGAGAAAGTGACAAAATGAGAAATTAATAGATTTGGTGATATAGTGTGGGTATTCTTGGTAGTGTCAGGGAATTAAGAATGGAGATGTTCACTTTGGGATGAACACCCCACCCATTCAGCCATTCTTTCCCTCCTATTCTGTCGATTCAGTATACTAAACTGTACTTTGCATTATATATGCAAACTACTTTGCTAAGACAAGCTAGCATAGAATATGTGTGTGTATTCTGGGATATATTGCAAAAATATTTTTCTTGTGTATTGTTTGTTACAAAGATACTATCAAAACACCATATTTGAGTTGAGGTTCTTTTTTCAGTCTAGATGGTTAAATGCACAGTGTGTTTCTTGAGCATTATAAACTACATGCTGCTTGTTTAGTTAATAGCTATGGCTTTATCTTGGAACACCACCTGAATGATTGCAGCTGTTTTCTCTGGAGAATGAATGTTTGTTCAGCATGATTAGAAAGGAAGCTTTTTTCTTCTTTTTGGAATCTGGGTCAGACTGCATGTGAATTCTAAGTGAAATAAACTATATGATGAGTGCTGCTATTTAGACCTGGGAACTTGCCAATGTTGCATTTTTAAGGAGATTCACTTTTTCATGATGATGAGTTTCTCCTCCTGTGCATTGCACAGTACCTAATGATGAATTAGGTGGTACTTAATGTAAAAATACATGTGATTTAACTGTCTAAATATCTATTCTAGATGTCACTCTTCCCCGCCTCAAGGCCTTTATAGCTCAACTGTTGTCACGGTTACACATTGAAGCACTTCTCCATGGCAATATAACAAAACAGGTTGGTGTGATACCTTCTTTAATAAAACAATTATTATTTAAAAGCAGCATAAAAAATGGAAGACTAGTTTAATCTCTTCAGATCTTAAAGCAGTTTTGCCAAAGGTGATTTCATAATTTGACTTCGTACATTTTTATCTTTATGGGAGTATCACGGTGTCACTTTTTCTACTTCAGATTTATTAGGCTAAGTGATGCCCTTGTATTGCTCTTGGAAATTTAATAAAAAACAACTTATGATCTAAATATTTTAAAATCTGTGTTGCATATCATTCCTGTGATGTGATCAAGCTGCTCAAGGAATGATATGCTGCAGATCCTGCTTTTGCATTTAAAAGCTTCAGGCTAACTAGCAATGATTTAAGAATTCAAGATCCTTCCAAATGAAGCTCTTTGCAGAAAGCTAGAGAGGACCGGCGGGCCATAAAAAAAAAGTGTCAGTTCTGTCGTTTGGGGAATAAAAATCAGAAAGCATTTGTTCTGTCTTCCATTAAAACAGTAACAGTTTGTATTTGCATAGGAAACATAACCAAATATTTGAATATTTGAACAATACAAAATGTAATACTTTTCTTGTACGTGTTTTCATTCTGTTTTGTTTTGTTTTTTTGTAGGGCTGGCATAGCATTATTTCTGTGTTATACCAGCTCTGTGATACTTTATTAGTGGATGTTCTAAACACTGCTAGTGACTGCTTAATGTATAGAGAAAAAAGTTAATTAGTAAGAAGGGGAAAAATAAAAAGACGAAGGAGCCAGTAACACTGGAAGCATAGTTTTCTTGTTCATCTTTCAATAATTTTTTAGTCTATTTTTCATTTGGAGAAATGTGAAAAATATGCTCACTTCATAACCTTCCGTATTTCTTACACATCTGTGTCTGGAAGTCATTTCCTTCTGAAGTGAAACTGAATGATCAGAGTTTATAGATTTCCATGCTGATGCAGTCATAGCACTGAGATGCATTCTTTAGTTTGGCATTATGGGTGACTATTGAAGAGTCCTACAGCCACAGAATTGGAAAAGTTGTACTGTTTTGCCCATAGCAATATAATGTTTAGAGATGATTTGCAAACCTCTCTGAATAGATGCAGGTAGGAAAGCTTCTGTCGTCAACACTGACAAATCTCGGAAATTTTAACCTGGATCTAAATTTTTTCCAACTAAAATTAAATAAAAATGTATATAATCTTATGACACTTTTCAATACTGAAAAATTTTTTAGCAAGTCTGTGATTTTTGAAAAATTAGACCTATCTAGCTGCTTAAAATTCCCATTTCTTCTGGAATTAATTTCATTTTGATATTTGCTTTTTTACTGTTTGTTTTATTTGTTTGCTGCAAGTGGATGAATAATAAACTAATCCTGTTCAGAACATCTGTCTGAACAGTCTTGTAAATATTTTGTTTTAATATAGTGACTTGATTGGAAGACTATGTAGTGGTATTTTTCTCTATCCCTTCAAACTGGCTTTTGTTAGACATCAGTCTTTTTGTCTTTGATGTTGGGTGTGGGTGTTTGAAGGGCTGTGTGTTTATTAAGTTTTCAGCACTTTCCATGCTTTTTATAAGATCACTTGTTTGTGGCAGCGCAGACTAAGAGATTCTGGCTTTCAGCCAAAACTGCTTTGTAGCAAGTTGCTGTAATTTCCAATATGTAGGCTACAAGAATACATAACCCTTAACAGGTAAAGCTTTTAAAATTAAGTCCCTGAATGAAACAAATGATTTTTTTCACTATTTATGATTTTTAAATTATTATTATTTTAATCCGTCAAATAAAAGAAAGTATCTGGGCAATGAGTCCTAATACTGCCAGCACATCAATGAAATGCATGTTTGAATTTAAATTTGTTTTCTTAAAATTCCACCTGCTGAGATGTATCGTAGGTATCTTGTTTTCAAACTTTGAAAGATGAGTTCATCAAAGTGGTAAAGTTAAAAATAGAAGGCCATTGAACTTTCAATTTCACAAGTGTTGGGGAGGAGCAGTAGTAGTTGAACATATAGACAAGATAAACATAGAAAATGCCCACAAAACCCTTGCTCCTGAAGCCCTCGCTTTCTCCGATCTGCTTAACTTCTGCTGTTTTTTTATTAAATTACAGTATCCCTACTTTTATGCCTGATTTTTCTTTTCTCTCACATCACCATCAGTAATTGAAAAGTCTTATTTTTGCTGTTAGGTACAGAATGACCAATTATTGTTAAAAATCCTCTTGCGTTTCCTCTTCCAGGCTGCATTAGGAATTATGCAGATGGTTGAGGACACTCTGATTGAGCACGCTCATACAAAGCCACTCCTTCCCAGTCAACTAGTGAGATACAGAGAAGTGCAACTTCCTGACAGTAAGTTAAATGATTGATTTCAGTTTTTTAACATACATTACATTGAGATTCTCTGTTTGCTACTGGCATTTTATAACTACTTTGTTGCTAGGAGTTTGTTTCAAAATCAGACTACAAATTATTTTAACCTTTAAATTTAAAATAAAATTAGGGTCTGGTTTTGTTAATACAGTTATACACTAATAATCATCTTTCTGGTATACTTGAAAATGAATTTGGTTTCATTTTTAATCTGTGAATGTAATTGGACCTCTTGGGGATTGGAAGTGGAAGATCTTAATGGTCCCTTCCAACCTAAACCATTTAATGATCCAGTGCTAATTCACTCAATATGATTTGTGGAAATAAGAGCCCTATCCCACTCTTTACAACACTTAATATGCACATTTGAATAAGCACTGTTCTTGAGCACTATTGAGAATTAATTGATCATTCATTGACAGATTATCCTAAATGACTCCTATTTTTTGAGAAAACTAAAAGCTGTTATGCAGGTAACTTCTTTTTTTCTCATTACAAATTCTTTTGGTCTCATGGTGTTTGTATATGATTTTACTTCTATTATGCAAAACAAAATACATATTATGTGTAAGAAAGGAGATTCAAGGAATTGCTGAGAGTTGTACAGGAGTGACAATAGATGTAAAGCAAGTCACCCACAGCTGATAATCAGCCTGTGGAAACTACCGTATACCAAAGAAGCTATTGATATTAAATGCTGGATTATTTTTAATGTTCATAAATGTTTCTGACAAATTGTCTTTAGAAGCTATTTACACAGTAGAGGCAATGCAGAATTCCATTCCAGTTCCAAAAATAATTGCTTGAGGAGAAGCAGCCAGTTTCAATTTACTTGCTGATAATGCTCAAGCTGTGACATTTCGATGTGTTAAAATAATCTTTTCTTTACTTGTTTTGTGAAAAGTATGCTGTTAGTGGAAATTCTGCTTTAACAGTCCTAAACCATTTGTTACTATTTCCATTCCACAAATGATTGACCATTATCATTTTAATTGTGGATAATAAGAATGTACATTTTTATGAACATCAGTGTTTTAACTTTGTCTTTTAGGAGGTTGGTTTGTATATCAACAGAGAAATGAAGTTCATAATAATTGTGGCATTGAAATATATTACCAGACAGACATGCAGAGCACTTCTGAGAATATGTTTCTGGAGCTCTTTTGTCAAATAATCTCAGAACCATGCTTCAATACTCTGCGCACCAAGGAACAATTAGGTAAGTGTCCCCATAGTGATTATGTGTCTGTGTACACACATGCACGCATACACACACATTTACATGAGACATGATGAGGTGTTCTTTCTCTGCTTAGTGAATGCCATTTAAAGGGCGTTGGGTAAATGTAAATCATTTTAACTGCTGGTGACTCAAAGGAGTGTTACCATACATGGACTCTAAATTAAGAAGAAGCAAGCATGATTTTTAAGATAAGTCTGAAATATCTGAAACCAACTCTGGCTTAAGATACAGTTTGATCACTGTACAGAAAATTTCATATCTAGAATTTTTACAAAAAGGAGATTAGATCAGTTTCCTAAATTTTAGATCATTTTAAAGAATCAGCAGTAGTATGTTCTTTCCTGCTTGTGATCCTACTTTCGGGTGCACTTGATTGAATCATAAGCCCTATTTTAAGAATACTGCTCTATGGGTAAGTATCAATAAGTACCAGTATTTGTTACCTGAACCAGTAAGACTGAGAACTGGTAAGGTTGTTCCAAACAGGATAACAAGGATAGACAAAGACTTTGCATAACTGAAGTACTGATGAGGAGGATAGTATTTCCCAAAGGCGAGAGACAAGCAAACACATCTCACACAACACATCTCAGTGTGATGACTATGAAATACCAGGGATATCAGGCAAGATTAGATGTTTTGTGAGCAACTAGCAGAATCAGCCATATCATAGGGCTTTTAACTAGATAGCTGTTGAAAATAGGCAGGACCCAGCTTATTTAGCAGGTTTTTGGAATGTGGTTTGGCAGGTTTTGATAGATTGGAGGTAACAATTAAAGAGGAGGGGGAGAACCAGTGAGAAGAACTATGTGAGCATGTCCAGCACTGCATAGCTGCCAAATGGTAGAGTTCACAAGACTTAGGAAGTAAGACAATAGAAATACCAGCAAAATTCAGTAAACTTGATGGAACTGTTAGTAAGATTCCTGGAAAGATAAGGGGGAAAAGAAGTTGAGCAGTTTGCTAAACAGTAAAAGTAGTACCAGGAGTTCATTCAATAAATGATTTACCAGGATAAGAAAGAGGAAGAGTAGTTAGTTGTGGAAGAAAGAAGTCAAAATAGTTTTGGATGGCTTTGTTTAGTTTCACTTAAAATGTCAACTGTAACCAGGTGATTTTGAAAATAAATACCAGTGATTAAAGTCCAACCCTTACCTTTGAACTGGAAAATAACAGATTAAAGGTTGTTCATGCAAATTAAAAGCTTTTAAAAAGTTCAGGCATGATGAACTGTACATTACATAAAAAAATATTATGAAATCTTGGAATTAGAAGTCTTATAAGTAAGAATTTGTGGATGATAGGTGAGGTACTGGAAAAATAAACGCAGGTAAATGTTTCCTTAAAAAAGGAAAAAGAGGAGCAGAGAAACTACAGATTAGTCAGCTTAATTCTAATCCTGTAAAACACAGGTTTTCTCAAACCAGTTCCGAATTCACAGAAAGTAACTCAGAAACTATTACTGGACAAACTCGGGTCAAACTACACCTAACTTTTTTATGCAAATAGAGTTGGCTGTATGAATGGAAGTGATGATGTCGTATGTCTCCTCTTGCTAGTAGGAAAGGTGCATAATATTCTCAAAGAAGCTAAATAGCATCTAGGTAGAAGTGCTACACAAAACTGTTTGGAAAGTCATGACTGGAATAAACAAGAATAGTTTGTTTGTGGTGTTCTACAGAGCTCTATTGTGATCCAGTGTTATTTAGTATTTTCATCAAAACTCTGGATTATAGAAGAGTGACTATACTTACTAAATCTTCAGATAATACGAAGCTGGGAGAGGCTGCAAGTGTGTGGGAAGGTAGAATTAGAATTCAAAATTTGACATTTTAGAAACACGAGTAAGATGCAGTTTGGTAGGAACAGTTTGGCAGGAATAATCAATGGCACAGATACAAGCTAGGAAGCAACTGGCTAGGTAACACTTGTGTAGAAAACAATCTACAGGTTACAGTGGATCAGAAGTAGAACATAAATTATCAGTATCATGCTGCTGTGTATAACACTGGGATACACTTGCCGTTTATAATGGGAACTTCCAAGATGCACACACAATAGTATTGTTCATGTAAGGACTTTGAAATACTGTGTGAACTTTTAACATGAGCATCCAAGAAATCTGTAAAATAACGGTGGCCTATTTTGGAAACATGTATTATTTCATTTATAATACCAAATTAAACTTAACGATGTTTGACAGCAAACATGTCATGTTTGACAGGAATGCAATTTTATGCTAAGTTTAATTCTGTATTATAAATGATATAATTTTAATTTTAAATAATTTTAATTTCTGACTGTTCTTGTTTTGCCAAGGTTACATTGTGTTCAGTGGTCCACGTCGGGCAAATGGCATACAAGGACTGCGATTTATTATACAATCTGAAAAGCCACCACACTATTTAGAAAGCAGAGTTGAAGCATTCTTAAAAACTATGGAGAAATGCATAGAGGATATGACAGAAGAGGCCTTCCAAAAACACATACAAGCTTTAGCAATTCGTCGTCTAGACAAACCAAAGAAGCTGTCTGCAGAATGTGCTAAATACTGGGGTGAAATCATTTCCCAGCAGTATAACTTTGACAGAGGTAAGAGAAATTACAGTTCCTTTAAAACTGAATGCTGTTGTTTGGCTGCACTTGTAATTGCTGTGTCAAATTCATTTGGAAACAACCTAAACTTTCACATAGCCTGTGCATAATTTAATATATTTTTTGTGATCGTGTTCTGTAAGTTCTATTTCTTCCTTCTGCCTTGAGAAAACAACTCATTTGTGGAGCCTGCGCACTCACTGTTGCGGGAGCTGTTAGTAATACAAGGATAAATGTGTTCTGTGATGTTCCCCAGATGATGGGGGTTGGTGAATGATGCCTTGCCCTTCTGTTCTTTCCCTTAAGGCTCAGTGAGACATAGTGTATGTCAAAGACTGGAAGTGGTTTGAATTCAAATATTAATCTCACATAAGCTCAAATTTCTTTCTGTGATATTCAGATGTCTGTATTACATATGTGCCTCATGCTTGACTGAGATGCATTCAAATGCAATTTGACATTCCTGATGGTGCACACATTCATATGAACCAGATTCCTTTTCCCGTTGCACAGTTCTTTAGGGGGAGCAATGGCAGAGGCAATAGCAGGTATCTCATCTAACATGTGACCTGTCTCAGCTCAGAGTAGGCCTGAAGAAACACTGCTCATTTTTAATTCATCCACAATACTGTGAAGATATAAACTTGCAGAAGATCAAATAAGATCCAAGTTCAAGTGTTATTATTGAAAATGGGCTGACACTTACATAAAAGTCTGTGTCCTGAGACTTTCCTGCTTTACATGCACAATATTGGCTTTCCAGAGTAACAATAACAAATACAGGCTTTCTGGTCGACAGAAACTGAACTGTTTCAATAATGAAGAGTTTTGAGTTGTCATCTATCTTGGTCTCGAGAGAATGAGAGCTATTGACAAGGTTTCATGCCTGAGTATATGGAGTTGCAAGGAAACTTACCCTTCAAGTACTTCTTTTGTGTTTGATGAAACAGTTTAATTTTTCTCTGCCTTCAGTGTTTTGTTTTTTTACCATACTTGGATCTATACTGTCTCTCTGGAATTTCTTACTGCTAGCTGTAGCCATATCTTCAACATCTGAATCCTACTCATTATTTCCATTGACATTTATATCTTTAATTCCCCTCTACCCACTGTTAATCTTATTTCATGAATGATTCTAATAGGGCTAGAATTGTCAAAACCAGAAATTCATATTCTAGCCTTAAGAAGTGAAAGGTTTTTTTCAGGTTTTTACATTTTTATCATTATAATAATTTTACTTCACTTAAAAATTTTCTCCCAAATGTCTTGTAATTTTCCAAACTGTGTCAAACTTCATATCTTCACATAAATTACTTACAGCCTGCCTCACAGACTTCTTAGCTGTGTATTCGTTCTTTTGCACGCATTTATTTTTTATTCTTCCTGCTAACCCTAAGAAAAGCAAGCATGCCTACAACAAAAAATGTTCCTGCTTATGCAGAAGTGATACTACCTTATGATTAAATTTATATGAAGCAGTGTAGCTACTAAGACACATTGTCCCCAGATATCTTAAAGGTAATTATTCCCTAACAGGTGTGATGTAGGCACTGTTCCTTACATTTATTAATATAAGTACATCCTGCCAAAGTACATCCTACCATCCTGTTTCCTAACTGTGAATAAAAGCCATCGTTAATCAGTCTGCATTAGAAATGTGTAACATTGATTTGAAGATAATATACAGAAGTAGGCATATCTTTTTCAGCTACTGAATAACATAAAGTGCAATCAGTATTCTTCAAACATGCATTTTTTTAGTAAGTCCAATCAAATGGACTTACTGAAGTATAATTTTTCTGTCAAGCTTCCAATGACACTTTTAGTCATGCAAGTATTAGCTTGAAAGTTAACAATGAAAAGCATATCATTTGCAGTCAATTATAGCATCTGAATTTGAAAGAAATGTACTTTGAATAAGTAGTGTGCTAATAATGAGCTATGATTTGCAGACTTGTTCTAATTTTTACTATTGTTGTGCAGATAACATTGAAGTGGCTTATCTAAAGACTCTGACCAAGGATGATATTATACAGTTCTACAAGGTAAGTCAGTCATGTAGTTGAAGTGTTACGTGGAAGGAGATGTAGCTAAAACTGGATGTGATCTGGATAGATATGAAAGCATATACTTATGCCTGTTTTAGGTAGATGATATGATTGATGCAGATACCTTAATTCTGTTTCCTGAACCTTACTTAGTTTAATGGCAACTAGCACACTGTAAAAATTGCGGGAAAGGATTGGGTTTTCTTGTGTGTTTTTTTTGGTTGGTGGGTTGTTTTTTTCTGTTCTTACCAGCTCTTAACACTTCTCTTGTCTCATTTATCCATCCTTTATGAATTAAAAAAATGTGCTGCTCTATGACCAAATTTGGCTAAAATTGCAAATTTATTCTTTTATTTTTTTTCTTCAACTAATAAATTATAATAAATGATTTAGCTTATTTTGTGTGTATGAATTGTGAATGAAATGGATATTTTTAAAGCTTCATTCACTGTAAATCAGTGCTTTTTTCCTTCTCTCATAGTTAGGCAGAACAAAGGAACAGTATAATGATGCAATAATTATACATTGCAGATCAGCATGAAGTTGTTAGATATCTAATGTAAGCAATTGTAATAATAAGGGTCCTCTCCCTTCCCCCCAATAAACTTGGCTTCATTCCTTCTGGTTTGTAACAAATTTCATAGGCAATGATAATTCGCTATACTACAAAGTGTATGCAGTGTTGTATTACTCAAGGAGCAGCTAACAGCTATGGGAATACTTTGAAAAGTAATGAAGATGTGTCTTAGGGACTTGCTATTGGATGGAAAAAGTTCTGCCCATGAAGAACCATGCATATGTGTGTATCTGTGTTCTTTATTTCTCTTTGTTTTTTTTTAATGCATGGGTGAAGATATGCAGCAAGTACAAATGTAGTAAATGGAATTTCAGTAGCTGTTGTTTAATAAATGATAACTTGATCAAGTATCCGCATTCTGTTTATGTAGGAATCTGTACTATTTTGATCATCATCTGGTATTTCAAAGGAGAAATAATTGGTTAGATGAGTGAGCTAGCCCAGCTGAGTTTAATAATTGTGTTCAGGGTGATCTGCTTCCAGAAGGCTGCTAGGGATTAGAAATTCTGCAGAGATTTAGGTTCCTGATACTGTGATAGTTAATGGCCGAGTTCCTATTACTTCCAGATTTTCTAAGTCTGAAACAGTGCATTAATTTCTTGATTGTGAAATAATTCAAAATACTGTGTGGATGACCTCTAATAATATCTGAAGGGCTTTAAGCTTACAGAGGGGAGATTTAGATTAGGTATTAGGAAAAAATTCTTCACTATGAGGGTGGTGCAACAGGTTGCCCAGAGAAGTTGTGGCTGCCCCATCCTTGGAAGTTTTCAAGGCTGAGCTGGACAGGTTTTGAGCAACCTGGTCTAGTGGGAGGTGTCCTTGCGCATGGCAGGGAAGCTGGAACTACAGGATCTTCAAGGTTTCTTCCAACCCAGAGCATTCAGTGATTCGGTGATATGCCAGAATTCATCCTTCATTATAAAGCTTAAACTAAAATGTAAATGCTTTCATTCTTTTACTGTTTTATAATGTGAGTGACACTTCCCACACCTGAAGGACTCGATGTTTTATACTGTAGGTGCTGTTGGCAATAGATGCTCCCAGAAGACATAAGGTATCAGTACATGTCCTCGCAAGGGAAATGGATTCCTGTAAGTATTGTGCTGAATATAGTACTTCATCAGTTCCTGCTCAAGCAAGTCATAGTTAAAGATAACCATGTTATATGATATAAATGCACTATAAGAAAAACTCAGCTTTGGAGGTTGTATACCTTTCAGAGGAGAAACTGCTTTGACAGGTTTTCTTTACATGCGTGCTTCAAACCAAGTTCTTCTGGTCACAAAATTCATTGTGAAGTACACGTCCATTTTGAAGTATATTGATATTAAAACAGCGTATCTTAAAGTAGCAGTCATGTTTCCAATGGGATATTTTAAAACAAACATAAAACTTTGTAAGAGCCCTACAGGGAAAATGAAATTAAGATTTGCAGCTATCAGTACTATGTGGTGGCTGTTTTTTTCACCTGACAGGCAATGAATGTCCACAGTTTTATTCAAGCACACTCAAAGGGGAAAAAACAAAACAACCACCAGACAAACAAAAAGCCCCAACCCTCTGGGAATGTCAAACATACTTAAACTTGAGAAAGTCTAAGTTCATTTAGGTTTTTTTTTCAAATTGTTATTAGCTGTGCATTGTAAACTGTTTTGTTACATTTTTAGAATTCAAGAGGGAAAAAGGTCTAAAGTGTTTCTGCTTAATATAACTAAACTGAGATTAAAAACTTTTGTGGTGTTTTGTGTGGGTTTCTCACCAGTTTATAATGGACTTAAATTCCAGCATATAACTGGTTGCAAAATCAAGGACATTAAAGGCTTTCTATAGAACAGAAAGAAGCAGATAGCTGTATGCCTGTCATGAAATTCCTTCCAGTCTCAGAATGATTGATTTTTATGGTACTGTGGAAATTGTAACTGCAGCTGAGTAAAGAAGACTTGCTTCAAAGAATCTTTTCAGTTTTCATGACTAATCATTACTAAATAGAAACAGCTCTAATACTTCTTATCAAGAGAAAACTTTTTCAAGTGCGGTAACATTGCCAGAGTGGTTTATTATTTGCTTGAAATGGTATCATCTTAAAGGTGAGCATGGGAGACAACTTCACAAGTGGTTATTCTTACAGAGATTATAGCAAGGTATTATCTCTGCATACACTCCATTCCTAAACAGTTTGATCTGGCATGTGGCCTCTCTTCTGCCATGAAGGAGAAATTGGGACTTTAATGCATTTCCCATGAGTCCAAATGAGCATTCTGCCAAGTGCAGGAAGACTAAAAAGGTTCCCAGAGGGAACCCATCCTCCTGGAGTCACATAATTTTCTCTGATAGTGGAAAAGAATCAGAAGCAGTAGAGATTTTAGAAGAATTTTCAGAGAGTGAAGCACTTGAACTCCTAGCATGAAGGTTAGGTTGAAATTTAAGTATGGAGGTAGAAGGGAGGTTTAAGGTTTTTAAGACAAGAAGTTCTTATGGACAAGAGGATTGGATGCAGAAAGTTTTGGGGGGGACTAGAGTAGGGAATGGATGGGGACAGGCAGATTTGCTATCCAGAACTTTGGTACATGGAGTAACCCCCACGCCTCCATAAGCATGTCATTACTAAAAGATGAAATGTGTTGCACTGCTCTTATTGTATGTATCACTGGCATGTACTACTGTTCTCATAATTTGTATTGAAAAACAGTTTGAAGTATTCATTGACCAGAAGGTTAGCACTTCTTATTTCTACCTTCTGTTTATGTGTAAGTAAAATGAATAAAAGCCACTGCCTCAGCATATGTTCTCATATTAAATAATGGATTAAGCTCTTTGTAATTCTAAAGACAAATGTTCAAAAAATCTTATTTAGAGCTACTTCAAAATTAATAACCTCTTTTTCATATAGATACTTGTTCCTGTCTTTTAAGAGAAAACAGTTTTCTTATGTGAAAGTTACTGATTAAATTATGGTCCTGAATTAATTTTGATGATGTTAAATAGGCCCTGTTGTTGGAGAATTTCCATGCCAAAATGATGTGAACCTGGCACCAGCACCACCCCTACCACAGGTAAAAAGAAACAACACAAAAAAATCCAGGCTGTATTCTTAATATGGAAATCTAGTATAAATTTATAGGGAGAAGCAAACTTGCTGAAATTCATCCTGTTGTGGGGCTGACATTTCAGCTCTCTTCTACATGCCCTGTCGTCCTCAATAACAACAGGGATTTTTCCTGATTATTTTTTGCTTGTTTGTTTTCTTTTTACTGAATACCTGCACTGTGGAGTCAATACAGATTATAGTTGTCTGAAAGTACTGATTGTATATGATCAGATTTATCAAGTGTCAAGAGAAAGATGAATAGGCATTGACAAATTTATCAACTTTGTTTAAAACAAACAAAACCCAGAAAAAACACCCAAAGAAAACCAACTATCTGGTCAGTATCTTAAAGCCTAAAATATCAATGAGCGTTACCATCAAAGTGTAACCTGTGGAGGATGCGATTTGTTGAATTCCCTTCATACAAGTATTACATATTTCACTGTGTGGTTAAGTATCATAGCACAGGGCTAGCCCTTAAATGAGTTTTCTTGAAGTAGGATGGTAGTGTTTGTCCCAGTAGATAAGTAACTGTTCATAGTGCAGAAGTAGATCTATGTTCTTATTCAGCCCTTATAGGTGAACTAATCGCCATGGTGGAAACATCTGTATGAATTATATGTTGATGTATTAGCCATTGTGACTGAAATACTAAAAATGTACTTTGCTACTGCTGCTAAAAGTAGTAACTTATTGAATTGCTATTGTTTTTATAATCTTACCTCTGATATTGAAAGGATAGGTGGGATGTTCTGAAGTAGAATTTGTAAATGAAAAGACAAGCTCTGCATTTACTGAAGTTTCTGCCATTATTAGTAACGTAATTACTGCATTATAGCTACTGTTTCAAATTATATAGAGGAAACATGAAACCATTTATTTCACGAAAAATAACACTGTACTTTGGGGGATCCTGTAATAAAGAAGTGTGAATCACTGATATTTTAGAAAAGAGAAAGATGTGTTTATATGTAGCTGTAGTAAAAGTTAGAAGCGAGGAATTTCTCACTTTTGTGATTAAAGATGCTGAGCAGGCTGTTTTTTGCATATGCTTCTTTGCAGCCGAGTGTGATAGAAAATATGACAGAATTCAAGCGCAGTCTGCCACTCTTCCCACTGGTGAAACCACATATCAATTTCATGGCTGCAAAACTGTGAAGAACCCCAGTGAAGAAATGCAAATGATGAGTACTGACATGGTTTCAGGGGACTTCATGATGAACAAAATGATTAAAGATCATTAGGATAAATGGTTCTGTCCGTTATGAAAGTCCTGAATTCCTTCTTGGTTCATTTGACATTAGCTGTGTGTTAGGGATAGAGAGTATATAAAAATCAGTTGTGGTCATGTGTCATTTATATTACAGACAACCTGTTGAAAACCAAAATCAACTGAAACAATAATAATAAAAAACTTGTAGATGCAGTATATTTTTAAAATAGTATATCCCTCCAAAATTTCATTTTGATAAAATAACCCTCCAGACAAAATTGCTTGAAATATCCTTGTTACTCCTGAAAACCACCATTAGTATCCCAATAATTTACCTTATTGGAGACTGGAGGGGGTGAGGAAAAGAAGGTCCTTTTTGGGATGTGGGCAACAATTTTTCTTACAAATAGAGACTTTCACATTTTTTTGAAGGGATGTGTTGAATGATACTTTTTAAATTGATCCTTAACGCAACCAACATATTTTCTATTTAAGTTTTATGAAGACCAGTGGGGGGTGAAGAAAAGGAAATTTGACAACATGGTAGTAAGTGAGAATTGTCTTAATGAGAATAATTGAAGATATGGGCATGATTTTAATCTTTCTATACAAATTGGGGGACATTTTATATTAAAACTAGTAAAATGCTGGAAACACTTTAATAGTGCATCTTATTTTTGTTATCAAAAGTGTTGTCCCAGTCTGTTGATACTGTCAACACTGCATTCAGTTTTTTAGGGTTACTGTGAATTGTTTCCGTTTGGCGTATAAAACACGTTATTTGCTGTAATTTTTTTGTTTTCAGTTGCGTATGTACTGAGGGAGAACTCAGTCTGTTTTGCCTCATGTGTTATGTTAGGTCTCAGTCCAGCAAAGCACTTAATAGTGCAACTAACTTTAAGCACATGTTAGTTCTTGACTCAAGAGCAGGTGAATGTCAGATAGGGGCCCTGTAACCAATCAGACACATTATAGTTCTGATACATCTGTGGGGGTCCTTCTTGTTCCTTCAGAAAGGCATCTGGGACAGTGCAGTACTGGCATAGAACCAGGGGGTGGTTCAGGTTACATCACAAAATGTTTCTTCCTACTTCTTTAAGAAGGCTGCACAGAACCTAGAAGGAGGAAGAGTTGTGCTGAAATTATATATACATATGTATGTATATATATTCCATAATTTAGTAGAACAGCAAAACAATAATATATGGTGTCTAATCTTCACCACGTATACTGACTTCTGCAGAGTGGTCTTTTGCTTGGTACAGCCCCAAGACAGAAGGAGGTAAGGGAGCATCCTACTAAGTTCTGCCTGTTTAATGCATAAAATTGATTGCAATTTTTCAGACAGTATGGAGTATGCAAAGCACTGAAGATATAAAATCTGCTCATCAGGGGTGTTACTGAGAATTTGGTTCCTCTTAAAAGAACCCGAAGTTAAGGCCCTGATGTGACATGGGTGTTGTCACGTGTCAGAATCCAGGTATATTTGATAGGAGTGTTTTTGTAATTGAAGTAATGTTTTTTTCTTACACTGGCTTTGAAGCCAAATTATATGAATGCTTGACAGGGTAAGGGCCTTAAGTTGTGTTTATCTGAGAGTCTCTTTTAACTGAATAATTACAGTGTATTTAAAAGTTATTATAAAGGTTATCAGTACGTGTCAACACCTTTTTAATAAATTTGATTGTAGCTTGTGATGTAACCTGTTGCCAGGGAAGGCCACTAGCATTTTTTTTTTTGTAGTCTCAGAAAAAAATATTAAACATAAGCAAAACCAATTAAGGTGTCTGTGTTCACCACATATCTCATGGATCCATTACATAAAATGGGCTTTCTAACCCTCTTGCATTTTGCTTTTGTTTATAGTTTTTCTTTAGTCAAAATATTTGTATTATATATATATTAAATTTTTGACAACATATTATAAAATATATATTTTGGGATTTAATATTTAAACATACCACTCTTACAGTGAATAAAATGAAACGGCTTTTATTGTGTGTAAAAATAAATAGATATATATATATTCATGGAAGTACTATTGACTCTTAAATTCTATACATAAATTGGAATAGCAGTGTATTTAACACTAGCTCACAAATCATGCTTTCCAGGGGAAAAAATGTAGAATTTCAAAGTTCTGTGACTGGATGTGGAAACCCATGTAGTTCTCCAGCAACTCTTAATTACTTTTAAGTGTTCTCCAGCATTTTACAGTTTCTGAGTTTGATATAGCAGTAAATTTTGATAAACTCAGGCATACTAATGGGTTCGTTATAATGGATCCAAAGCTGCAGTGTCTACAAGCAATAAAAAACTACCTAGAATACACTGTAATTCAATTTTAGTGCTTGTTAACTAGTTTATGTAAGAAACCATAAATTATTATTACATAACTGTAATTTTTGCAAGTGCTATTTTAAGCAATTGATGTGGAAATGGGTGCATGTGACACAGCCAGTATGACAGAGTGCTAGAGTTATTCTGTTTACAATAAACAATCTGAATTTAATGTTTGGAGTTCTTAATTTGTTTCATTTTAATTTTTTTGCATACTGGTAATGTTACATCTATCAGTCTGTGCATGTGTTTTATTATATGTTGATTGTGATTTTTCTGGTAGCCAGTTGCTTGGACTAGTTAGGCTGAATAGCATTGCTGCTGGAGAAGTGTTCCCAGTCACTTCTGGGCAAGTTTCCCAGGATTTCCCCATGTCGTATCCAATATAGGTAGATCCACCCCTGTTGCTCTCGAAAACTAAATAATAGAAAGGTAGGAATACTTGCACAAGACAGAATTTTAATTACCAAATCTGAAACTGTAAATTCAGAAGCATCACTGCAGCCAGACTGAATCATGCATAGTGCAGCTTTACAGTGTTGCTTCTGAGAAATTGCTTTCCTTGGCCATTTTCTTTGTTTTATGCACGCCAAAAGATTACATTTCTAAAGGTTAGGAATTAAGTGTGATTGATTGTTAGAACAGTAAATAGTGTGAGTTCTGAACTCTGACAGTGTAAAGATATGTCAGCAGGGGCTTCTGCTCCTTGAAGTAATTATCTGGCAGTTAGCAGTGTTAGAAGAGACAGGTTTTGTCCTTGGCATTGTGAACACTGATTGGTACTCTGAGCAAAGAAACAAAATGCCTGCAACCCACCTGGAAAATTATTTGTCCCCAACATCAGGGCTCTCTTTCTCCGCTCCCAATAATTAGGGATCGGTGTAAATCTTGATAAACTGGCTTTATTGGTTTTTATCAAAAAAATCAAGCTCTCTGAATAAAATTATTATTGTTAGAGCTTTTTTCAGAACATTATTTAGACACTTGGACATGAACAGCTCTTACCCATAATGTGTTCCACGGGGTAATTGTAATGTGTGGAGAAAGCATTACACACCTTTTTAACTTCATGTATTATTTTCTAGCTCTTGTTTTAACACAAGGTCAGCAGAATCTTTGTTTTCTCTCTGCCATTTCTGGTTAGAATGCTTTTGCTACAGGTGTGCTGTAAAGTGAAAAACAGTTATCTTCTATACCTTTCTTCATGCAGGTTTTTTTTTCTTCCGTATTTTTTCAGTAGCTGACCACTGAACTGATACGGTCATTTGCAGTGACACCTGGGCCCTTCTCTTGAGCTAATCCCTAATTTGATACTCAAATCCAATTCTGAAATACTTTAATTTCAAGTGAGATTTTAATATTGTTGCTTCATGCTGCACAATACAAGGCACCTCTGTGCTATTTTAAAAGCAGAAGAGATCAGAAAGTCAGGCACCTTTCTTACCTTTCACGTAGTATCAAAAGAAGCTTGGCCTATGTAGACTCTGCTGAGAGGTTTCTATCTGAAACATTTCAGTTGCTATTTACCATTCAAAGAATATACCCATAAGTTACAGTATGTGCTGTTGGTAGAATATAAATGCTAATGGTATGTGAAATCTGAATTGCAGTTCAAAGGAAGAAAGTGTGTAAGGGCAAAGGCTCAGCAGAATGGGAGATGTCACAATTAAATCCACTTACTTGAACTCTAGCATCTAAAGGGAATTTAAGATAGAAAATATTTATGGATTCTTAAATTATTATTTCAAAGCCACCCTAAGGCTGTTAACTCTAAGTGCAGCATTAAAAGATGTGGACACGACACTGCTGAGCTTTTGCTGCTGTTAACTTTCAGGACTCCCTTTTCAGTGATGCAGTGAAAAATTCTGGATTAAATTCTGGACTGTTTGTGCAGTGGATAAGAGAAGCTACACAGCTCTGAGTGGACTTCAGGTTACTGTTGCACTGAGCGAGGAAGTGACTAGGCTTAGCTAGTAGGAAACTAGTGCGAGGCATCCAAGTTTAAATCCTCCATTTTTCTAAGGATTTACCTCCACCTTACTCTGGGTTAGTTGTGCTTTCTTCTGCTTCAGATTCCATTACAGCTTTTCACTGCCTGCTCAGCTTCCATTTCGGGAAGGAGAGTAAGGAATCGTAGTACTTTACATATCTTTGGCAGTTACTAGAAAATTTTCCATGGGAAAGCAGCTGGAACTCGGGACCCCCTTCCCACCCTCCTCAACCCTGTCCCGTGGTACATATGGGCTCATACATGCACGTGTTCTGGTGGTGAATGCTTAAAATCAGAATTTTAAGCTTAAATTCGACAAAATAAGAACACCTTCAACAGAAGGGAACAGGGAGGTCCCCACCTACGTTACAGACCTCCTGGTAAGTGAGAAAAATAGGGTAAAGGAATTCTAAGAGGAGATGGAAATGAAGCTGATTTTTTGATAACTTGCACTAAACACTGAGTTGTGGCATAGGAAAACACGCTTTTTATGTGAAGTCTGCTGTGAAGGATGAACTCCTGTGATGGGAGAGCTAAAAAACAACCTGCTTGTGAATTCCAGGGAGATGCAGATCAATATTAATGCATTCGTCATGGTTAAGGCTGAGTCATTTCAGAGCAGGCACAAAGATGGTATGTAGAAAATGTGGGTGTGTACAAATGTTAGTGAAAGCTGAGGCTGAGACTTTGATGATCTAGATCTTGGATGTGATGATTTTAGTGGACAGGGGTCTTAAAAATGTGCTGAATAGTATTAAAAGTGGTGCATTTGATAAGGCAGTGTTGGAGCTAGTCTAAACCACCAGAAATACATAAACACTTCACAGCAGTAGTGCTCAAAAATGAGTTCAGTTGGTATTTTTCAAACTTTCCAGCTTGCTTTGGAAGGAAGTAAGTTTAGCAGGACAGGTTTCAACCCAAATGATTATTTGCATATGTGTGTAAAAGCCAGGGAAGTTCACAGCTTAGTGCCCATCAGTGCTGTAAAGTCAGTAAGCTGTCAAACAGTTCAACATTTCCCCGCTTTCTCTGTCATTACCATAACTTTTAGCCTGCTAATACTTGTGCATTCCAAACCTTCTGCAGTACCCTGAAAGGGGGGGTGGCTGGGTAGGGAGCGGAATTGTTTCTTAGGACCATTTACTGCAACTGAAGTTCTGTGTTTTGACTGCAAGATACCAGTGTCATTTACTGGCACAAACCTGTTAAGGATGAAGCTTCAGGAATCTGAAAAAAAGGTATACGAAGATAATTCTGTTCACAGATTTGATTAATCCTCATTTCCAGATCAAATTGTAGGAAGAGAAAGAAACTGTGATGATTCTGCAGCATCAAAGTGTATTCTAGAAATGCAGGAATCTGTATGTATAACTGGATCTGGCATCTCCACAAGCTGATTGTTTAGTTCTGGTACATGTCATCTTCAAGGGCAGAGTCACCCACTGTTCATCTCGCATTGCATTGTGTCTCTGTTTCCAAAGTGAGATGACCACGTAGCTCCCATTGTCACATCAGCCAGAAGTGTCACTGATGTCCCTTTAGCACTGGATGTTCTAGGATTTATTTTTTTTTTGTGATTAGAATTTACCTTCTAATCATGCTGAGCTGTATCCGTAAAATTAAACAAAATGGCATCTGCAGTATGGCTAAGTCTGGACAGCCACACTGGACTGCTGCTGAGGCTCAGCCCAGGGGGAGATTTAAGCAAGTAGAAGTATTTCAGAAATAATTTAAAAACAGGTGCTCCTGAACTGCAGCAGGAGACTGATCTGCTGTTGTATGCACAATATGATTTTATTGCTGTGAATAATCTAATAAAAATGTACCTTACGCAGCTTTTTCCTGGAAGTAGGTATATGTAAGAGCAGAATAGCTTGTAGGTTTTGTGTAACTTGAAGAATGCGTATACAAAGAATGCTTGTAGTTTGGATTTTACACTTGAATTTAAATGTCAGTAATCATTAGTTTAAAGATGTTATGAATGTGAAACTACAGAAGATTGTATTAAGCTCAGTGTAAGTGTGAGCTGGGGTGCTCATGAGCCACTTAACAATAATGTGGAAGTGGAAGATAATGCATATGAGTTGAAACCAACTAGTTATATGTCATTTTGCACTTCTTGTCTGGTAATCATGTCCTATCTGTTGTGTCATTGTGTATAAATTCCTGTGAAAAAGGGTGATGTGTTATGTCTGTAAACTTCCAATGCACAACTGTGGTGCTGTATAGCTAATAATATGTTAGGCTTTTTTAAATGTTGAATTGTGAGTAATAAAGAGTGAATATAAGACCTCAGTTTCAGACATCTTGTAGTGTCTGAACAGTCTAGGTTTCTTTGAGTATTGAAAGCAACATCATAAAGTAGCAGAATGTCTCATGAATTTTATTACCTCTGTGTTCTTTACTAAATGGACACAAAAAAAGGCATTTGAGATAATTAACTAAATACTTAACCTGGCCTGACTTCTGGAGTAAATGTGTTGCCTTGTAGAATTATTGATAGCCCCAGATTATAAAACATACATCTTAATGGTTTTGGCATAAATTCTGACTAGTTATTTAAAATAATCTTAAATACTATTGGAATAGCTTCATAGGCCTTGAAAGTCTTGTAACATTCATGTTTTGTCTTTGATTTGAGATCGATATAGGGTCTTAGTCTTGTATAGAAATAAACAGAGTCCTGTAGTTTCATAGCTGGTTAGATTGAGCTTTAATTTAGCAATGGTGTTACAGAGATCTTTTGTGAGAGAGATCTGTTACAAAGGTGCTGGAAGAGCTGCCTCAGTGTTTACCTGAAGTCCTCATACACCATGCAAGCAAAAAGATAAACCCCAAGATAATGGATATCTGCATTTGTAAAGTATGCATTTGCATTGTAATTAATCTGATACTTTTTTAAATCTGAAGTAAAGAGTATACCTTCTCAAAACTCTGTGGAAAGATTTAGTATGTGTGGTTGTCCAGCAGCTTGGGAAGAGGCAGTTGTGCAGAAAATGGACTGCAAAACAAAACTGAGCTTAAATTTGTATGTATGATTAAATAAGACTATACAGGATAGCGCAATTAGTAAGGTTAAAAACTCTTTTACTTATTCTGTTGGTAATTTCTGGCTCATTGAACATACTGAGGTAAACCAGAAATGTATAGGCAACAACGTCACAGTTGTGGTATGCTGGTGGTGGAGGAGAGAGACTGCACAATTTGAGGGATACAGTGAGAATGGATGGCACTGCAGTATCCACACACCAGCAGCAGCTCGGCAATATTAAAAGCTGAATTTGTAATGTTTCTTCCGGGCCCTGAAAGCATGGCTAAAAAGCATTGGGAAAGGAGAGTGGTCCTGTCTTTGTTGGCCCCTTGAATTCTTGGATGCCTTGGGCAAACAGTGAAGTTCTGTTCTTGAAAGCAGCTACATCAATCATATTTGCTTACTCAACTGATCTTTCCTTTGGTTTTAACACTAAATGTTACTATCATCTTTTCCATGTAAGAAAGGGAGTTCGATTACATCTCCTCTTTTGTAGTATTTATACTATGCTAATCAGTGCTGTTTCCAACCATTTACCTGGGCCTCCAGTTAATGGATATGCATATGTATCTGAGATTACCCATCACATCTAGTCCCTCATCTTGGAATGAATATTTATGGTGATTTAGGGTCCCTTGTTGAGTATTTAGAGCTGGCACTTACCAAAATAGTTTCTTATCTGGAAAGTCAAGTAGAAGTGACTTAATTGCAATAAATATTGAAGTCTTTAGTGCCAACTCTTTAGTGCCATTTCTACATAATAAATTTAAGAGTAGGACTGTACGTTTAATTTGCAGAGGAATGTTCAGGTTCATGATGTAGTCATGCATATTCAGTGATTACTTCCTACTGTTTGACCAGGTTGAGGTAAGGGAAGACCAGGAAAGGAAGCACTGCATTTTTGTTTCGTTTTTTATCTGTTTCAAAGTTTGAAAGAGAATTTGCTATGCAAGAAAATAAATTTCATAGTTTAAGTTGTAGGAGTGTGAATTTTTTTAAACAAACAGGTATAGTTTATTTTTTAATGTAAAACTTAATTTTCATTGCTTGGAAAACACCATCTACTTAAGAATAAAAATGTCAGCTTAAAACGATTCACCACAAAAAAAAAGCAGCTTTTGTGGTGTCTTTCCTTCACGTTGTAATTAAAGTTCCTCTTGGTGCTATATAAGACAACATTTGCTGTGTATTCCCTATAACAATGTGAAGAGTTGTGCACCCCATCTTTATGCATGAAAAAGATTTTCTAAGTTCTGAGGAAAATCGTGTCTGTACGATTCTACAGATAATAAGGAAGACTTTAAATGCTCAATCGGAGAAAATAAATGACTTTTAGATCGCTGGAGTGGCCTGGGTGTGTGTTTTATAAGGAACAAGACTGCATGCGGTCTTTGCAAGTTCGGTATCGTTAGGTGGGCTGCGTCCCAAAACCGACGGCTTTCCCAGGCTTTCCTGACCAGGGTTACCCCGGGGCCGTGAACGCGGCGCCGACGGCCGCGGGGAGGTGCCGCCGAGCCGAGGCACCGTGAGGCGGCGTGCGGGGTCCGGCGTGTGCCGCGGGGGGACAGGCAGCGGGTCGGCGGAGAGTGATGAGAGAGCTCGGTGAAGGGAGGGAGATGAGAACGAATGTCGGAACCTGTATCCCGCTGCTGGGGCCCGTACGGGGGCCACGGCCGGGAGTGCCGCCTGCCCTGCTTCCGTGGAGGTGGGGACAGCCAGGCAATATGGCGGCGGGGCAGCCGGGCGGCCTCTGGCAGGGCCCCTGCGGGCGGTGGGCGCCGCAGGCTCCACGTTACCTCACAGCAGCCCCTTTTGGTTTGGTTTGTTGTGAGGGTTTGTTTGTTTTTATTAAGGGGGTCGTGTCCATGAATTAACGGGGTTAATCTGCAGCAGCACCGAGCTGTCCATGGCACCTGTGATTGATGCGTTCCTTCTTACTCTGAGGAAAAAGATTACACGTATCAGGTCACAGGCATCACGCGTGAGGTGATCTAAATCCATCAGCACTGTAGGCTCCTGGCGCTGCCCATTTCCCACCCAGCCGTGGGGAAGGCTGTACTTGTGGTGTGCTTGGCGCTGTAACAACAGGCACCACAGGGAAACTCGGGAAAATGGCAATTTTGCCTTTGGAGCAAGGTTCAGAGAAAGTGTCATGCAGGAGCCTCGGGGAGTGAATGGTCTCATCACAGACAGATCCTTTCACAAAAGAGGGAAGAAATAAGGTTGCATAGGTCACTGTAGTTCTGGTATTTCTAGCATTTGACACAATGGAGGGCTTTGACAGTGAAGTGCTGATAGCGCAGACTTGGGGTGTAATGGACAAGCATGCAAACACAAGGGAAAACAAGGGGAGCAGGGCAGCTGTCTGTATGTGTCACCTTAGTGACATGGGCACGCATTATCTCGTGCGGTAGAGCCACCAGATCTGTCACATGTTCGATGTACTAGCAGTGAGGACATGTGTGTCTGTGCGATAAGCCCCATCACTGGCATTTCCAGGTGCTGGAGAGCTAGGAAGGAGCCGACACACACTCTGCTCTAGCCTCTGATGGTGACAGACCTTCTTCCTGACCTCCTGTCTCTGGATCCACATCCTTCTCCCCTGGCCAGTCTCAGTCCTCATCTCGTCACCCATTGTCACCTGATGCCTTCACCCAATCTGTGACCCACAGCCCCCTGCACCCCCAGCCCTTCTGCAGCTCCTGCGCTGTGTGTCACAGATTAATGCCACAGTCTCTTACCCATTTTTCTCAGTGACCACTCAGTCCCCAACCTCCTTGTCCTTCATTCACTACACCTATCGCTGAATCCACATTTTACCTTTTTGCCTTTGAACAGGATAGGCTAAGCATGGAAATTGAGAGCTCTGGAGGACAGGCTTTCTGGTTTTAGGCCTGGTTTTACAGTACTGCAGGTAGCCACGAGGTGCCAAGACCCATTTCTTCACTTAACATGGCCCTTGCATGAAAAAACCTATGGGAAATTCCAGTTCAGCTTAATCAAATCCCAACTAAGCAGCTTCAACCTTCAAATTTTCAAGGTGTTTATGAGGATTCTTTATACGAATCATAAAAGCCACCACCTCAACCACCTGAGGTCCATCTGATTTTCAGTTCCCTGCTTCAAACTTTGAGACTGTCGGAGACTTGTTGCAATTTCCCATTAAGTGACCGAACTTAACACGGAAGAAATCTTCCATAGTTACTCAGTGTGGTGAACATAGCATGGTGCTTAAAACTTGATAAGGTTCTTAGAAATTGGAAACACGGTCTTACTGAAGTATCAGGCAACCTGGTGGCGGTAGCAGCCTTCCTGTGTCACGTAGGAATGGAGGAGGAAGAAACATTTCCTTGCAGAGCTTTGTAACTTAAGGCTGGCATATCCTTGAACAGAGAGGATCATGCGTATTAGCCTTCCAGGACTTCTGATAGTCTCCCCTTGTCCCTAGACTTTCAGGTGGGGGTATGTGAAGGCACCTGAGTGCTGGGGAAAGAAGAGCAGCGTGAGCCTTCGTTACAGAGAACAAGAGAAACTGCTTTGGCAGCAGTAGGTAACTCATGAACTGCATACTTTGCACAGTGGATGAAGACCATAATTACACAGCAATACAGGAATTGTCTGCCCTTTTCTCTGTTCTTTGCTGTACAGCAGGAGCTTCCCTTCCCCCTGAGTCAGGCTTACTGCTGGGTGTGAGCACCCCTGGGCTGCACCTGCTGTGGTGGCTTGCTAATGCATCTGCTTGGAAGAGATGCCAGGTTTGCACATTGAAAGGATAAACTGCTTATCCTGTTTTCTGTAATAATGTCACAGAGAGCAAAAGCTCATCCGACTGATTTAACTTAAGGGTAAATAACAAGGCAATGTGGTTGAAGGAGACAGAAAATGGAGAAGGGACTCTGAATCAGCTGATTTTTATTTAAAGGCTTTATTCTGGTTGTTCTCTTTCTAAAAAATATTTTCATTTTATGGTTTGGAGAAATAATATATAAATGATTCCCTGGCAAGAAGTGCATAAAGTCTGACAGATGAATAAATTGTACTCTGCAGAGCTGTAAGCTTGAAAAGAACATTGCAGAGATAATGCATGCTCTTGGCTTCAGAGAAGTCCTGTCCATTAGAAATTAACCCCTCTGA